AGATAGCAGATAGCTAGAAGAAAAGTATGTATTGATAAGACAATAAATAACCTAAAAATAGACGTAACACAGTCAATGAATTGGGGATTGTTTTATCTATTCCGACTTACTTTTTACAAGACATTTCCGCACTCTCAAACTGTAGTTCGTCCGCAGCTTATGTATTTTAACAAAACAAATAAAGTACGGCAGAGGCCCACGTTTTGGGAGTATCTTATCAGAAATATTTGCCAAAATGTTTTCTATCTTCGAACCGCTATAGGGTGGTTTCATTTGAAATCGAACACGCTTGTCGGGGTGGGTCTTTCGATTTTTTTTTTTAATATATGTAATTGCCCCATTTCTGGAAAGAACAAAACCGCTTTTCAAATTTAAAAAAAAAAAAGAAATATTTCGCTTCACAAAAAATTATTGAGTGGAGCAGGGTGGAAATCTGTTTTTTACTCCGTGATTTTTCTACCCAGTTCTGTACGCTGGTACGAATACGGGAAGCATACAAAACTCACAGTAATTTTTTGTGCTCTTGTATGTTATTTTGACTTTTTTTAATTCAAAGGAAAATACTTTTGTATTTTTGTTTATTGAGGTAAAAAAATGGCAAACATCGCCTCTTTGACAATCCGGTGACATCTTCAGAGCCTTGTAACTCGTGAGTTATTATATTTGTCGCTTATTAAATACTATGCGGGTGTAGCCCTATAGACCGACACGCGGAGCGGCTCTGTTTACCAACACGGCCGGGAGGCCGCGCATGCGCGTTAGCTATGTGGGCAAAAGCAGCCCGGCTCTCCGTGTTTGCGCCATTGCGCTCTATGGCGTGCGCTCGTTGTGGACGTTGTAGGGACGCTTGTATCTTTATTTGTGCGTCGTATTTCCTCATAACGTATGTCGTATGCTATGCCCGACTATTTGAGCTCGTTGCCCGAGCCTGAACGGTAGAGGTATCGAAACAAACTGTGCGTGGACGGCGTTGCCTACGAGGATCCGTACGCCATAAACAAGGCCTGCTGGACTACCGACGTAAAGTTGCTGCCACGGAAGTCGACGGCTCATGTCGCCGTTCATTTAGTTTTTTCGCCAAGCCAGTTCACGGTCGACACGGTGCAGGCGTACAAGTCTCTCGAGGTCTACGATTACATCGAGTTGGTTTCCGCACTGCCGGCGGGATCAGCAGACTGTGGGTCTGCGGAAGTGTGTGTATTCATTAATTGATTAAATACACAAAGCATCTGCAAGTCAAGGTATGATATTTTTCATACCCTCATGACCACAAGGCATTACAACCAGTAAAGGTTTGTCCGTTCTGCAGTCTTGGCGGTGACAGGCTACAAGTAACGGCGTTACCAGGAACGCGCGTTACTTTTTTCAGTAACGTAGTAACCTACTCGTTACGTTTTCGACACAGTAACGGGTAACGTACTTATGTTACTATTTCAAGTAACGTAGTTACGTTAGTCGTTACTACTTCCCAAGTCTTAAAAAAATTACACTTCAATTGTTTCCGTGTTTTAGGCGTCAAGCCATGTTTTTCTTTGCGTTTTTTCTCCTAAGTATTTAAGTGAAACCGTAAAAAAGAAATAAAGTAATTATGTTCAGTTTCTGCATAAACATAATGTTTCTTGATATATGACCTGCATCGTCAAAACCCTAAAATGTGTTAAATCATTATTAAAAAAAAATAACGCACAAGTAACGTGCCTTACTTTTTATCGGTAGCGGCAACGCGTTTCTTTTATTTTTAGATAACGTAGCTCAGTAACGCGTACCTTTTATTTGCAAGTAACGAGTAACGTATTTCGTAAAATTTTTTTTGGTAACGCCTACAACACTGCCGTTCTGTCGCCGATCCCCTTCTACTCGGTAGCACGGGCGTAGCGAGCCTCCGACGAGCGCTTGGCCGGTGCGTTGTGCGCGAACACCGTGGGAACAAAATCCGGGTGGTCTCGATCAGACAACGGTTTCCCTGCACATAAGCAAGCCTCGGGACAGAGATTGAAATGGAAGCCGAACTTGCATCCAAGAAAGTGTTTGCCGCACAAACGGTCGTTCGCGCGAGGCGACCATTCCTTTCGATCCACGGATATTATCCACCTTCTATGCCTTTCAGAGTCTGCCGGGAACTTGTGGAAACTCACTCCGCTGCTTTTCTTCTACATTTCGGTGCAATTAACGGCAACACAGCTTCGCGGCATGCTGAAATGCTATGACGCCCATGCAAAACGTGCGCGCTTTTGCCCACACCCCCCGGCTCCGGCGCGATCGCAGCGCCGCCGCAGCTCCGTGACGTCAAGCCCGCGTGTCGGTGTATACATGGGCTATCGACGGGCATAAGTTTAGTTTATTTTATTTTCACCGAATATTTTATATAAAATTTGAAATATCGTCGAAAATGAAATGAACCGATATTTTGAACCCACTTTATGGAAAAAGGCCATTTTTTTTATTTCGTTCGATTTTTTTATTATTGCTGCCGATCATATGACCTTTCAATTGGCTTGATGCGATTTCCCCCTTTTTTTACTTTGGGACTTTGGGACAGACCCGCCGCGTACATAAAGGGTATGACGCCAAAGGCGTCAATGCTTTCTTCCACACATTTTAGGAGACGTTCTTAGAGTAAGGAATAATATAGGTCCTTGATATCGATGGAAAATATCTTTAGCCCTTCCTGACGATGTTCTTCTAGAAAGCTGGAGACCTCGTAGGAACTTCGAACCGGGTAGGGATCGTCTTTCTTTAGCAGATTTAGCCTCTCCTGAAGGAATATTGCCACCGATTTTTGTCATGTTCCTCTTTCTAAGACAATGTCTCTAAGGGGACATTCTGGTTTGTGTGTTTTTGCGCTGAAGAATAATTCAAGGTTTAGATTTTTGGTGCGATCAATAGAAGAGCAGAGCTTTTTTTAAATCGAGTGATTGACAAAATTGTCTTGCCTCTCTTCCATCGATATCAAGGACCTATATTATTCCTTACCCCCAAAACGTCTCCTAAAATGTGTGGAAGAAAGCATTGACGCCTTTGGCGTCATACCCTTTACACTCTCAAGAAAAAAGGGTGTAAAAGGGCGTATCGTTACACCCTTTGTCCTATATAATACACCCCGAAACTTTCATTCGAGGTACAGCACCCTACAGTCGAAGAGACGGCCCGAAATTTTACGAGGGGCTTGATGGCCGTGTGGTACAACTTATTAAAATAGCTAATCTACGTTTTAACGACAACAACAAAAATAATCGGGGTTTTCTTGACCCACCGTAAAAACTCGGTGTTTTATTTATGCGGTCTTTGATACGTACTTTAGCTATTTAAAAAGGTATATCGCACCGTTATCAAGCCCCTCGTAAAATCTGGGGCCGTATGTTCGACTATAGGGCTCTGTACGGTCGAAATGAAGTTTTGGGGTGTGTTATATGGGACAAAGGGTGTAACACCCTTTTTTCTTGAGAGTGTATGAACGCGGCGGGTCTGTCCCAAAGTCAGTTTCTGGACTTCCTGAATATCTATTTGAAGTCCACTTTCGCTGCTTGGGATGGAAATGCCTACCTGCAAAAGACGGGAGTATGCAGAGGATCCAGCATTGCTCCAGTCCTTAGTGACATCTTTCTTGCACACCAAGACAGGAGTCTACAACGAATATTGGATACATAAAAAGCAGTGAAAGTATGTAAATCCATGTAAAACGGCAATAATTGTGAGTAAAGCATATGGTGCTATCAAAGTCGCGACTTTCGACAATCAGAAAAACTTCGAAATGTGCCGCCAATCCTTCCAAGCTAACTGCCCCCCCCCCCCCCCCCCCCAAAAAAAAAAAAAGGATTTTGTTGTTTTATTTTACAATTTTGTTTAGGACATTTATTTTCTTTCATTTTTGCGCGACGTAGTTTCGCCAATCTCAGCCTTTCCAGGTCTAAGGAACGACTACCCGTCTGCATGTCAGGCCACTGCGGCAAGTTTCGTTGGCGCTGGAACCGGTGAAATGAAACATTAGTGAGTTTCAGTATTGCGTAAACGAGCAAACGCAAGCACTGTGTGTTTGCGTCATGTTGCGTGATCCACACTGCGCGTGCGCGGAGCCCAAAACTGCGGGCTTGAATCGGCACATTGCGACGACGCGCATGCCGCAGCGTGGAGCACACAACTCTAACGCAAACGCAGGGCGTTTGCTTATATGCGCAAAACTGAAACTCTCTAGTAAGGTACAATCCTATACCGGCTGCAGCACTCCAATGGGACAGTGAAGGGTGTTGTTTGCATACGGAAATGACATTTCGCGAGCCATGATCGCGAGTAGTTCCGCCGTGGCCGCTGAGCAGAAGAACTGGGGGACTCTAGCGCTTTCCGTTTCCGCCGCGAGAGGGCGAGCAACGAGCTGGAGACGCTAATAGTCAGATAAAACTTAAGAAAGACAGTGCGAGGGCGAAAAGGACGTGGAGAGGAGCGACCTCCTTGCCACAAGGACTTTTCTCGTGCGCGCCCTTCCCCCCTCGCACCGTCTTTCTTATTGTGTGAACTTAAAGGCGCCAAGAAGGACTCGTCGACTCCCAGATCCACAGCTACCCCTGAACGGAGGCTGAAGATTCTCCTTTTTAATCGTGCGAGCTTGGAAAGAACAGGGAGTGGACGTCTCTCTTCAGGAACGCCGACCCGACACCGAGACGAATGGAGAATGAAACTAGTTTTCTTTTTCTCGTGGTGATTTTGATTATCCACTTCCTGGATAAATTCGAATTGAGGAAAATGTGAGCATCAAGTGCTTTTGGGATCTTTTCGAGTTTCTCCAAAGCAGTTTCTCAAAGCCGTGTGACGTGCACGAAGTGCGTGTCGTCGTGCACTCCCGAATCCCTGCTGCGAGAGGCTACATTCCACGAGCGATTACGAATAACACGCATGAAGCCCACAGTCTGACGAAGACCCCGTCAAAATGTCACGCCGTCCGTTCCTGCCGCAAGATGGCGCAAGCTCCCAAGTCGTCGGGTTCCTTTGTTGCGCTCCTTTGTTGTTTGGTTGTCTCGCAGAAGGCGGCCTTTCCGCGCCGTGGAACCTTTCAAGAGCCGGCGGTCAGAGATGGCGTGCCCTCTCCTTTTGCCCGTTTGTGGGTTAGTCGAGGGCCTGCGGTGGAGGGCAGCTTTGCACCCTTTCCACGCCTGCCATAATGCCCGTCGCGGTTGGCTGGCGCGAAAGGCGCTGTCCTACTTTGGGTCGAGCTAGCCGCCACTTTCCTGACGCCCGTTCAGTGCCTGCGTCTGCATCGTTCGGCGGCAGCAGCAGCGTCTCGACAATGGACAAGGCCCAGGAAGCAGCCGGCATGGGAGCTCTCGACTACGCAACCGGCGACCTCGCCAGTACCATCAGCAGCAGGGACCTGCTGCCCCCACCGGTGCGTTGGAATCACCCATCGGTTGGCCCTCGTGATCCATCCCTTGATGGGCGCAGACTCTCGGCTGGTAACACAAATCGCGGTCACACCAAGCTCTGGTACATCCGCCGAGGGGAACTTACACAAAGTCCAAAGAGCGCGCCGATTGTCCGAAAATAGCGTCCAATCGGCGCGCTGCTTCGACTTTGGCTCCCTTGATCGCAGGGCCGTGTATGACTGAACTCAGAGCCGAACGCGAACCGTCCCGCGTTCTTCGGGTGACGCGGAGAATTCATCGGCTTTGCTATCCGCCGAGCCGACCGATACACTTTTCTGAGCTGTCCTTAGCCGCCAGTGTTGTGCTGAAAAGAGGCGTGCAACTATCCTCATGGAACTTGAATGGATAGCCTTCACCGGTAATAGAGTGGGGATCTTCAGAGCTAAGAAGGGGCCTTCGTCGAAATGTGTCTGTCTGTGGGATCCCCCATCGTTTCAGCATCTATACTTTGTACTGAAACTGCTGACTGTAAAACATATCATAGAGGCCCTAGTGTTCGTATACGATGACATGTAACCGCAAATCAAATGCCAGAGGTGTCAGCGTGCATGTTTTGCTTGCGTCTCAAACGTGAAATTTGTTTGCAGGAGTCTCGAATGCTTCTGGTATAGTTTCAACGAGCACGGGTGAACCCGGAAAAATCACCGCAGAGATTGGGAGCAACGTTTCATATCAGCCGGCGTCGATTTCATTTATCTCCCTCAAAATGTCCAAAAGCACTGCACGAGAAAAGAGTAAAAAGAAAGAACAGAAACATAATTGGTGCAAAAACGTAATCTACGACGTCTCGTACAGATGAACAAAGATGTACACACCAGGGTATACCAGGTATAGCATTACAGTAGAGGGAATCAATGCTCGCTCCAGAAACCTTTTCAATCAAAAAGGTGAGAGCGGGAAAGTGTGGGCGGATTGCTGCGAGCAGACTGAGCGCAACGCCGTCGTGCAACCTGTTTTGCCGTCCTCCATACGGGTTATCGAGGGCATTCATGCCGAGCGACAGCCATTTTGCGGAGACGGCCGAGGACCCAGGAAGCGCACCGAAACAGCTTCCCGCTCTCGCAGCACGAACGCGTCTGCCAGCCGAGATCTTACTGTTGTTGCACCAAGTATGGAGGTCGACAAGATGGTGGCCGCCGGGAAGCACTCCACTGGCCACGCTGGCTTTGCTCGACCGCCACGTACAAGCGATGGCGCCGCGGGCAAGCAAAAGAGAGCTGACCACAGTATTGCAATCGTGTTGCTGCGCTGCCCTGGCCACCCTGCACCGAAACTAACGGAAGTTCGTTTGGCGCTTTGAATTAGGTTAATGGCTTCCTATGGCCGCCAGCACGAGACCGATTCACGCTACGATGCGTCACGCAAACAAAGAGCAGGAAAAGTTCAACGACCGCCCATAAGCCACTCACCTGTCACTCAGGAAAACGGACATTGTTTTTCTTTGGCGTGATAGGGATCGTCATTTATGCTGTCGCAGTAATAATATTTGCATCTTGGATTAGGCCCGTGGATAGGGTTATGACTGCATCCACCCTTATTGCGAGTTATGCACCCTTTATCATTATGGTTCTCTTGAACGGAACGCCTTTGATTCTCTCAAGTGTGGAAAAAAAGAGTAACGGTACAGTGTGTGGAAGCGATACCAAATAGCTTGAGTGGAGTTTGTTTTAGCGACCACGTTGAATAAGTAGTGCCTGTACCAATGTTTTTTACTTGGAGATACAATCCATGAAATTGGAGAAGCTTTATGTGAAATATTGACGAATACAAAGCAACAAATATGTAACCTCCCTAAGTATCGAGCAGTCACCATGCAAACGACTATATTTCAGCTGCCAAGTATACATAGAAGGCGGTGCAGTCAACGACGTCCTGTGGTTTCGGCCTCGCTCGTGCCTCATTGCATCTGTGTTTGTTTCTGTGCATGCGACAGCTATACGTGGTGCGTATTAATTGCTCGTAAATTTTTGGCTCGTCAAAAAAGATCCCTTGGATGCATAGGACCGCCACCAGCCTATCTTAGGAAGTTCACCAGCACTAGAAGGGTGTAGCTGTAACAGCCTCAAGGTGCAGCCTCATGGTAGTTATCAAGCATCACGACGTATCGAGGCATATAATGCCTTCTATCACATCCGTCGGCGCCGTCTCCGATTGGTCAGCGCCGCGCCGCTGACCAACCACAGACGGCGCTGATGTCCCCGTCCCGCTTGGTTCCGCCGTGATAGGGCCCCAGGGGTCTCCAACCTTGGCCCGCGGGCCACATCCGAAAAAGGGAGGCGTTCCGGCCGGCTCCAGAAGAACCCTGCTCTTGAAAACAAACGAAAAATGGGATGTTGAGACAGCCTCCATGCACGGGTTACCGGTCTCTTAGCTGTAGATGAGAAATAGAGCCAGTGCAGTACAACCGCTGACCTAGGGGCTACACGAACGCGTGCCGGTACGAAACTTGTCCAGATCGAACCCAGTTCAGTAGCGCAAGTTTTCGTTTGAGTGACGCCCGGTCGACTGCTACGAACGCCCAAAAATATGCGCGGCCAAAACCAACGGCACCTTGACGCGCAGCAAAACATTAAACGAAGATGGAAAAAAGAATGAGAGAAAACTGCCTCAAAACGCGGCTGTTACGCGTTGTATATTCATTGTCATTACTATTCGTAGTCTCCTGCTTCATGTCTGTGTAACGATGTCAAAATTCCTTTGTGTTCTCATGTCTAGCGTGCTGAGTGTTTCGTGTTCATGACTATTGCATATTATTCTTATGTGAGGTACCACCCTCGTCGGTCTTCTGCCCCGTGTGAATATAGCAAAGTTCTTATGCACTACGCCTGGTGAGTTTTTTGTGTCACAATCTATGTCATAATTTGTAAGATATTGAATGCAGAGTGTTTCTTTCTAACCTGTATAAAAAAATACAGGGGATTTCTTTTTAACCTTAACAGATTTGTTTAAAAAAGCCTTGAAATCTACACTAATGCGGTTTGTGCAAGTAACAGGTGGGCATAGTATAGGGGTCAATCGTAATTATGAGTCGGGTAATGAATTAAAATATGTGCATTACCGTTGTAATCCTCGATGCAATTGTTCCGCCATTGTGCAGTGGTTCCAAACTTTTGATAACCGGCACGTGAATCTCGAAAGGAGTCTATTTAGCCGTGACTGCATCGCTTGACTACCGCCTTGCCCGCTATTTGCTAATGATGGAGGGTTCCTCTTTGTTACTGAAGCAGATTACTTGTTACCTTTTGAAACAAGAATCGAGCAATTGGGAACACAAGCCTTTTTTAAAATAATGTTAAAGTTTCATTTAGAATGGGTATAAAAAATGTTGAAAAATGAATCATATCGCAACACTTTGGTTCGGATAAAGACTCCCTCCCCTCTCTGTTTTATACTCGGCAGTTTACTTAGCCTGTAAATATAATTTCTGTAAAATGCCAGCAAAAACCAGCATATCCGCTAACAGGTGTATCAATAAAGATGCGTCCTATAAGTTTTATGAACCTACCAAACTCAACGCTCTAAACCATAAAACAACCACCATATTATGAAAACGTGTGCTTTAAAAGTGAAACTTCTCTTTAGCGGTAAGTCAAAGTTTGCGGCTCTTTCGATCGACAGCCAAACGGGAACTACCTTGATATAAACCAGCGTTTTTATTTTTGGCGCAGTTATTTCTAAGTAGAGGTCAACCTGCCATCAAGACCTAAGCAGGTAGACCTGTAACAGTAGTGAACATAATTTCCGAGCTTATCAAGCTAACCCAGAGCCGTGTATAGAGTTTGATCAATAGGAGGTAGAATACCCGAGACTGTGGTAACAGCTGGAAAACTTGGTCGAAGAAAAAAGACAGGCGAAAAGAACGTCTCACTAGGAAAAGCAGGCAGAGTCAGGGCGTGCACCAGACGCAGAAAGAGGGCTTGAGATGCTCTCTCAGCCAACCAGAAGCTGAAAGTAATCCCCTAGCGGTGGTAGTGACAAACAGTTTTAATAAGTGCTAAGAGTTAAATGTAGAAACTCTTCATGGTTGATAGTGTGGTTCACGCGAGGTTTCGATTATGATCATGCAAAAAGATGCAAGAAACGAATGACTTCTGTTTTGCTCGGACAGGGTACGACCGCTCGGACGGCAGATTCCCGGCCCTCGACGCCTGGCGTACGGATTCCGTCCATCGTTCTGCTAGTCGCGCACGTCCTGTTTATATCTCCTATGCCTCTATATATCTTCCAGCATGATTTTGCATGACCGTGATCGAAAGGTCACGCGCACCTTATTTTCAGTCAGCGAGAGTTACTCCGTCGCACTCATTAATTTCGTTTCTCGCAACCACCACCAGGGTATTATTTCCGGCTTCTGGCTGGCCACATTCGAATTTGTGAAGACGCCCTGGAACACGCCCAGCCCGCTTTCGGCCCCAGTTGCCTCCGATACTTTCCAATGAATGGCCCAACTCCCTCAAATGCCAGCCGTTGGTCCGAGCAGCCCGGTGCAAAGCGCTGAAGCTGGACGCAGGTGAGAGGTGGTGAGGGTTGACGCCAAGTATGGTCAACGCTTTGTCCCCGCGAAAACTGGGTGGGGCGGTTGAAAACACAGGGTTGCGAGCAGCAACAGAAAACATGCAGCTGCACTCGACAACGACGTGAGCTCAGCTCCGAACAAGAAAGGCAACGATGCCGACTCGCTAATCGCTAACCCTGACTGTGAGCTCAGCCGTGTACCGCCGCTTATGTTTCTCGCCGACAGCGCACAAGGCCGTTCCGTCCGTCGCGGCCGGAGCGAGTGGGTGCCGCCGACGTCGCCGGAAACGCGGATAAGAATCCGCCTTTTTGCATTCCCAATTTTTCGTCCGCTGCACCAGTGGAGACGTTGGCCCTTACCCCCGCGCTTCTCACCTTCTCCAAGTCGTCCCAAAATTGACGAATTTAGGGGTTTTCGATAACGCTCAGCAAGTTTCGAACTCCAACTATACGTTTATTTTCACGAAATAAAACGTTAATTAGTACATTTTAGGCTATTATCTCGCTAATTAGTACGCTTCCTGCAATCTCTAACGTTCGCCGTGTCTCGCAGTTTATGTTTCTTTTTTATTCATCTACAATGCACTGGAAGCCATCTGCAGGCCCAAGCAGGGTGGGACAATATAGAGTGAACTGTAGACAATTTACGACCATTAACGCTCATATCGAAAGGCAATAAACCGCAATATAAACTAGCGCAGTGGATCAACAAATAGCTGGCGTCATAACCACTGCGGAACCAGAATAATGATGAAATACAACACCACGCGCTTAGTCGTGACGATGTTTAAACCACAAAAAAAAAGAAAAGTATATGCTAAAAACAATGACTTGTAAAGATTGGCAGAAACAGCCAGTATGTCTATGTTTGTGCTCACGAAAGGGAGCTCAACATCGTTTCATTTTGAACCTAAAGCAGACCGGAAGCGAAATCGATGTAAGGAGGCGAAAGAGTTTTGGCTCGGAACGCCCGTCCAGCCAACCTACCTAAGGACGTTCCTCAGATGAAGGCAAATAGCGCATGCAAGGCGAGCGAGTTCGTCACTCCAAGTTGCGCGCCCGGTTCCCGCCTGCGAGGAAAGCGCACTTTCGCGCCCAAACCGGCGCCGTCCAACGGCCCCCCCGGCGGAGCTTTTTCCACCTGCTCGGCTCAAGTGGCATCTAGGACGCGGCGACGCAGCCAAGCGAACCGCCGGGCTCCCACGTCTCGGGTCCAGCGAGCGTGTCCGTCGGGTCGCGCGCTGGGCGGCCTTGCCGCTGGCCAGCCTCGTGGAACGCCACTCACGTTCCCGGGGCTTGCAACTCGGCCGTGTTGCAGAGACGCGACCGAAATCCTCGTCGAATACCCTTTGCTTGCCGATTCGTTCATCCAGTGTCCCATTGGCTGCGCCAGCGAATCCTCCGCTGGCCGCGTCATGTCCGCGCATCTTCAGCATCGACCGCCAATGGACGCTTAAGCTTCGCCTTTAAGAGGGGAATAATAAACCCCCATTCGTTCTCAAGCCGTGCAAGCCTGTCTGGCTCGCAACCGAAGGATTGTGGGTTGAATCCCGCCTGAAATTCTTAAATTTTTTTCTCGAGGGCAGATGAATTAACTTATAAAGTGAGAACATTTGAGACATGCGGCGACCTTTAATTCGCATTACATGTCACGTTTCCACGCGTGACGTCACGTTGCACGTGAGCGTTGTGGGCTGTTTGAAATCCCCGCGCGAGGTCATGTGGCTGTGACGTCATAACCCTATCGACCAATCAGGATTTTCGCGGCTTCTCTAGGAAGCCACCTGCTTTTCTCTTTTCGGGGGGGATCGGTGGCCGAGAGGGCTAAAGCCACGGCTAAAGCCAACGTTGGCTAAAGCGCACACCCAGCTCGACGCGCGTGGAGCGAAAGCTCGCGCTGCAGAACCCAGGGATCCTGGGCTCGAGCCCCACCCCTGCCCGTCTCGATCTGGATGAGCATCGTACCGGCGTGCGGTCGTGTATCACTGCTGCGTGGTGCACTTTAAAGACCCCAGGCTAGCGGTTGTACTGCACTGGCTAAATTGCTCATCTACAGCGTGTGACTCGTCGCAACTTTAAATGGCTGACCAACTACTCGCTGTATAAATATCCCTCCCCCCCCCCCCCCCCCCCCCCCCCCCCAATTTCTGTTTTTGGAACGCCACCGAAACCGGCGCGACACGAGCTATAGGCTGTCGCTTTAAAAAGTCGGCGCTCCAATCCACGCTGTGGAGGTGGTTGGACAGCGATGCTTGGCATCACCTGCAACGATTGCCCACTGCACTACAGACACTTTTTTGGTAAACGGCACCAGGTGGTGCTCCCGTCTTTGACGTCCCAGAGAACTTCCAATTCATAAAAAGAATTAATAAAGCCCACCCTAACAACGCTGCTTGAAATGGCGATGAAATGTTTAATCATCAATTCTCCACGTGAACGCCCCCCCCCCCCCCCCCCCCGCCCCCGAAAAAAAAAAAAAAAAACACGAAAAAGCCCGAGATCTGTTATAAGTTTTCCATTATTTTTGTAAACCAACTGGCCTCCTCCAAGACGTTAAATTATCCCTCCTTAAATCTCAATTTTTGATGTACGTGTAGCATTTATGCTTTCTAGCACTGGTGACATAAGCAAGCTTGACAGGCTTGCAAAAACGGAGCGACCAGAAGTCGCTTGGGATGCAGGAGGCAGTTCATGTTTGTAAGCAAGCTGGGTAACGCCATTTTGAGAGCGAGAGAGAAGAGGCAAAGGGGCTACCGGCCGGCGCATTCCCCCTTGCTGGTGCGTTAGTGTTAGAGAGAGTGGAAGGCCCAGATGAAAGGCTTTGCCGGTGTTGGGTGTATGCATTGCCCGAACTTGGTTCGCGATGTCTTCTCTGTTTTAAACTCGCAAACTTAATTAAAGCCACGGGCTTGGATGGCGACAGTCCCCCGGGCATAGGGACACTTTTGCTATGTCATAGGGTGCACGAATAACGACAGAGAGCGTCGAATACTGTCCGAGGACCTATGGAGCTTGCACGAAATCCGGCAAGTGCGGCTGCAATGTCTTTAAGCTCCATCGCTTTCCACATGACCCCGATCTCCGGCTGCGGTGGGTTGCGTCCGTAGATCGAAAAGACTTTTCCCCAACGTCATCCTCTCGACTGCGCTCGGAACATTTTGCAAATGGAGCGCGCACCAAACGCTGTTCCGCCGATGAACATGGGGTACGCTCGCAAGGTGCGTGCGAGTTTTCTCGTGATAATTGCTGTCTCAGCTTGTAACCTTTTGTAACCTTTTGTAAAACAGAGAAGAAAGCGCGAACGAAGTTTGGGCAATGTATACACCCAACACCGGCGAAGCCTCTCATCGGGACTTTCACTCTTTCTAGCGCACCAGCAAGGGGGAAAGCGCCGGTAGCCCTTTCCCCTCATCTCTCTCGCCTTCTTTCAGCAAATGATTGACGAAAGAAAAGTAAATGCACTGTGCCAAAACTTTTTATGTATGAAAGGCTAGTGACGTCACTCGGAACGACGCAAGCTGCGGTCGCCGCGGCAGCTTGCGCAACAACCGGGAAACGTATGCGGTGAGCGTACGAGCTTCGCATTGTTATCAGGAGTGTCTTATCACCAATAATGTGGTTCGGATACTCGTTTCGTGCTTGTCTTTATTGGAACGAATGCTGTGCTGTGTGTTGTATGCGCGATGTATGCACTTTTCTCTTCAACCGCTAAAAGCTTTTTTTGTGAGGTTGACGACACGAAGCAATTCCAGAAATCCGACCTGTGAACTATGTACAGCTAGCCTGCACCCTCACCATTGCTTCGCTGTAAAACATTCTGAGAAGCGGCAGAGTGGCTCGCTGGTCGCCGCTGCCGTGCGGTTATCGGGGACTCCCGCGAAAGGCCCCGGGCAACGTCGGATACGGCGACGCGTTTCCATTGCCATAGCACAAGTCATGGTTGCCCGACTGGTTTATTCGAGCAGTTCGTGTGCACAGCATGCATTCCCAGAGGAACCGACCCCGTTTGTTCCCCTCACTTCAGCATGAGCGCGGATCGCACTTACCGCTGGAACGGTCGACGCCCGCGTGGCTGCGCCTCGGTGGCTCCGAGGCAAAGCGCCGGCCTACGGATCTCCATGTGGCGGGTTCGAATCCCTGCCGAGGTGCACCGCAATCTGACGGAGGCTTATTGCGGAAGGCGCCGTGTAACCGAGCTTTCGGTTGCACGTCAAAAGATCCCCTGGTGGTCGAAATTAATCCTCAGTCCTCCGCTGGGGCGTGCCAGATGCCCGTCGTTGGTTTGGCACGTAAAACCCCCAAATAAGGCAGAGCTGTGTGAATGCGCGTCCTGCACGAGGGTTAGCTTGGCGGGCGATAAAGGCTCGCTCAAACATTTGCGCACACTGGACGGCCCTCGGTTGCCGTCGTTCGAGGGCGCTTTCGGGTGCTTCCTACGGCAGCGCTTTGGCTGCAGGCGTCTTGTGTTGCGCAGGCGTACAAGCGTCCCGGCTCGGAGAGGCTCAAGATGAGCGTGGTGCTGGCCAGCGCCCTGGTGGCGGTCTCCGTCGTGGTCGGCGTCGTCGTCGTGCTCGTCGTCCACCTCCGGGGTCAGCAGCAGCTCCAGTGCGCCTGCGCCCAGGCGCTGCCCGCCGCCATGGCCTTCACGGTACGCCTTCCACGCTGGCTTCGCCGTTCCTTTGCGAAGATTGGCTGCGATGATCAGATGCTCGGGATACTTGTGGCGATTGGGGGACGTCTCGCGCCGCCGAGACGTCCCCCCAACTGAACCTCTCCACCAGGGACGGCGCCAGGATCTTCATAATGGGGGGGCAGTGGGGAGGCGAACCAAATTGGGGGGGGGGGGGGAGAGGCGGTTGCTTTTAGGTGCTGTCGCCCACGGGCTTATGAATGATAGCTTATGCGGTGTGCTCATTGAAAAGGGAAATGCGTAGACACGAGGAGGAAGAAGGGGGGGGGGGGGGGGGGATATCACAGCAGGGACCTCTGCCCCCTTAGCTCAGACTCACAACCAGGTTTTGCTTCCCTTTCTGAGACAGTCCGGAATTCCCCATGACCTCGACTTTAACTAAGCTCCCCTTCGTTCACGTCTCCGGTCTCCGCTGAAGATAAGCACCACAGAGCGGAATACGGAGAGAAAATCCAGCAGGCATCACAAAGGGAAGCTGCTTTTTCTAAAGCGCTTGATAGTTTACTCGCCCGCGGTTAGGGAGACATGAAGGCACCCTACCCGAGGTACGACTTCCAGTGGCTGGAAGTTAATAGAAAAAAAAAAAAAAAAAACGCATGAACGGCTTACACTGGATCTTCAAGCCGACGTCGTAGGCAATTATTTGTGTACAAAGCTGCTTCATCTTGGGGTGGCAGAAGAAATTTTAGGGGAGGCGCCCGCCACCCCTCGCATCCCCTTGGCGCCGTCCCTGCTCTCCACTGCCATAAAGGGGAGTTTTATGGCTGTGTCCACGCGGCTCGGCCAAGTGATTCGGGGGCTTTCGGGTAACTGGGGCAGAGTGCGAGCAGCGCGAGTGCCGGCCCGGGAGACGCGACCTGAGCGGCTGACTGTGCGTGCAGGGACGCGGCGGGGCGCAGCCCGACCTGTCGTCCGGCCTGGCCTCCAAGATGCCGCTCAAGCTGCAGCTGGATCCCCTCGCCGGCGTGAGTGCCCACCACTGGGACTCTACCAGTGCGCTCTAGATCCCTTGCAAAAGGGCGGACCAATCAACTGCCTGATCAGCTGAGCTCCGCGCGGCAGCGTGGTCACGTGGCGAAGGCTGGTTGAGCGCGCTCGTAGCTTCCAGCGCAGCCTCAGCTCCTTCCCAGTGCTCCTCAGCAGAAGGCCGGTACTTGTACGAGTGGCGCCAAGGATAGGCTGACGGTACTTTTGTTGTTCCATGTTAGCGGGATGAGAATTGGAAGCTTCGGTTCCTTGGAAGTCTCGCCTTTCCTCCAGAGAACTCGTAACAAAATGCACGACGCCAGTGAAAACAGCGCTCGCACTTTAGTCAAGCGGTCAACCTCGCACAGACGAGTTGAAGCCGAGTTGAGCAACCTGTGCTGCCTTAACTGCCTTGTCACAGGCGTCACTTGAGCGAACGACGAGTTCGGAGAGGAGCCTGTCACTAGCTTCGCCCGATTTACCTTCACCTCCTCCGCCGGTCAGAAAAGTGTAGGGCAGAGTACTTCCGGTCAGGGGAGTAGCCAGGGGGAGGGCTTATGGGGCTTCAGCCCCCCGAAATCCAGCCGACCCTATAATATACACATGCATTTTGACCCCCCCCCCCCCCCCCCCCTCCCTCTCCACACCCCAAGTCATGGACATCCCAGGCTCCCAGCCACCTCCAGAGTCCTCCCCCGAAAAAAATTCCTGGCTACGCCACTGCTTCCGGTATGTGTAGTTCGACACGACCGGAAGTACACCGCCCTACACTTTTCTGCACCGATAGAGGAGGTCAATCGAACGCAGCTATTGTTGGCAATGGGCGTAGGCCGGCAACCCTGTCGACGACGAAAGCCAACTGGGCCAAGGTCCTCCGCTCGTATTTCTACCGCTCACCTTGGAGCGGGGCGAAAGTCTCTCAAGTTCCAATGCATCTGCGCACGGCATAGAGTTAATATTCTAGATAGAAAGGTCTGCATTTCGGTCGCCTCGGAACGACAAGCCATAGATGCGGACATCGTCAATCCCGATGGGACCATATTGCCGGCGACCCTTACACAAAAAGCAGCAAAAGATCTAGTTTTTTTCTAGCTTTAATTTGCGCAAAACCATGGGCGTCCCGGATGACAAGTACTCGAGCAACTTCTACTCGTCGCGGCAATTAAAACGAACACGCCGAGCGGCCCAAGCCTATCGTCTGCTGTAGAGAGCTATATGCGCCCGGATTGATTTCTGTTCCTTCTCTATCTTGCACGTGTTAATCGTGAAATGACTTTTCAACTTCTTCCTCCTTAGCTTCCCTCCTCAACTCAAAATCGAAATGAGAAATCACGTGGTCGACACGAAGTATATCATGACGTCCTGTATATTTACGCACGTCACACGCGAGTGTCACCGCGCCCAGAGCGCCTTTGATACTGACTGCGCCCGCCTAGAGATCGTACTAGATTGCACTCCTGCCGAGAGATGGCGGTGCATCTCAGTTGTTCTTAGAGTAACTATATAGGCTCTGAGCATATGCAGTTTCCCTAGCTGTTCTGCTCGGCGTTCTGGTTCTCCTTTGCGCGGAGGCGCCCTCGGCCCACGTTTATTAACAGCGCGAGCTGCGTTCCCGTGGTCCGTAAGCATTTTCTGGAGTAGTGTGTAATTTTTGTTACGGTTTTAATTGTGCCCGACGGATGTAAGTGGACATCTATAAGTTAACGCCATGGTTTACTGTTGCGTACCGTTTTGTAAACAGAACGGGGAAAAGCAGCGGGTGTTAGCTTCCACGAATTCTCCCTATCGCGAATTGATCATGGCCATTAACCGAAAAGGTGACTATCTTTCCATCTTGTTGAATTACCCGAGACTGGTGCGACAAACATAGGAAACATCGACCATGGAAGAGAAGGACGAAGGTGACAGGAGAACGAAGACGCAAACTCAGCTAAAGGATTATAAAGGGGTGCTTTTCGAGTAGTGTCCTTCATTCGGTAAATTCGTAATAAAAAATGGGGCGAAAGCAAATCATTCATAAACGATTAACGACCGCGCCGGGCGCGCACATGCCCATTACCCCAATCATTTCTAGCACGCCTTCCTTGAACAGCCAGAGCCTTTTAGTTTGGCCAATGAGCGGAGATTGTTGCCCGCTAGAACCAGCGGACTTCGCGACAACACAAAATGGCGTTACTTCTTTTTTCTTGTTTATTCCTGAGAAACCGCATAGAGTTCCCATGAGTAAGAGCCACAAAATGGCGTACGGGAGTAGTCATCCCCCGGTTGTCAGACTATGCTGCTGTGGTTACCAGGCTGTCTAAATCTCATTAAAGGGCAACTCCGCTTCATTTTTGATATTTAGAAAACTATGTAGCCCTCCCCATGTCCAATATTACGATCTAATTCCGTCTATATGTTTAATAAACTGCCCAGCAAACTTTCAAATCAGCCAAGTCGCCGAAATCTGCCAACTCTAGCGTGCGACGTGAGGGGCAATCGTCAGCGCAGTCAATGCGACGGAGTTGGAGCGGCCAACGTTGAGGCAGAGGCATGTCTACGTCATTCTCACGTTTTGTTTGTTTTTACTTCTCAGAGCGAAATTGAACGATGACGTCATGAGTTTCTCCTCCCGGTGTTCGCTGAACGGCGTCCACGTGATCACCGTAACGCGGATGCGCTAGTTTGCGCGGCCCTGTGCGCTTATCGGTCTGTTTCTCCGTTCCCCCTCTCCTCTTTCGTGTTCTTCCCTTCCCCCTCTCCCCCAGGCCATCACCGTCCACGCCATGCGAAGCGACCTGCCCGCGTCGCGTGTCCCGTTTCTCGCCCCTACGAACGTTACAAGACCACGTGGTTGACGTGACGTGGCCATGACTCTGACGACACGAGACCAATGGTGCCTGACGCAACCGAAGTTTCGGTTTCGGTATCAGCTGATGTTTAAATTAAGATTACCCAAATAACATTCCACATTTCGCGAATCCGAGGACGTAGAGCTGTTTAATAGTGCTTTGTGAAATGGAATCAGATGTAAGCCTATTTTTTTCGGAATTGAGCGGAGTTGCCCTTTAAAAAGTCTGTGACCAGCTGAGTAATGGCGCCATCTAGTGGGACAGCGAGAAATCGGCCGCATCAGGGCACAGCGCTGCCCGTGGCCGCGCTACCGGAATGCGATGATCCCAGGTTTCCGTGCTTTTTAAGCAAACCATGGAGCTTGTCCTTTGCAAGTGAGTGCCGTCAGGGCACTCAATAGCCATTAACGTGAATCGAAATATTCGTCGACGGATTGATTGTTGACGAGCGCATACGTCCGAGTGACGCAGTGCTCGTGCCCACTGCGTGAGCTGGGGTCCGCTAACGTGATTTGGGTGCCGCAGATGTAACGCTGTGAAAAGGCGGAGAGCTTTGGAAGGAAGCACGAGATAATTAGCTATATTTTAACGCGAGAGCGTTAAGAAGCTCGTGTCGCACAAAAGCTGATATCGGTGGCGTGACGCGAAAATCCGGGATTGCTCATGACGTCAGAGCCACATGTTGTCGCGTCCGAATCTCAAACAACCCACAACGCTCATGTGAAACATGACGTCACGTGTGGAATGAAAATGATTAAAAAAACATGACAGGTAGTGCGAATTAAAGGTCGACGTTACCTCAACCTTTTCGTTACCTCAACCCTTTTATAATCCACACTTGCATCTTCTCCGCCGAAACCCAGGGCCCCTTTACGTCTGTTCACCCTCTTGCACCTCAAAACCAGGTGTTCCATAGTTTCGCTCTCCATTCCACATATGCAACAAACTGTATCTATATCTTCGAATTTTGCTTTATAAGTCTTCGTTCTTAGTACCCCAGTCCTGGCCTCAAACAGTAAAGAGCTCCCCCGAGAATTGGGAAACAAAGTGTCTTTCTTTATTTCCTGTTTTTGTAACTTATACAAAGTTAAAGCTGATTTCTCCTGCATACTTCCTTCCCACCATCTCTCTCTCTCTCTCTCTCTCTCTCTCTCTCTCTCTGCATCCTTAACTCTGTTTTCTACTGACTTCGTTTCACTATCCGCCTGTAAAAATTTGTTTCCGAGCTTTCGAGTCCGTTTCGTCCCATTCGTGTTCAAGCTTTTCATGTTATCTTAGCTGCCCACCTCACCTGCTTCATATCTGCTAGCCTTTGGTGAAACTTTTTTTTTACTTGTTGCCTCTGTGCTTTCAAAGGGTGCCCAACCCATATCCCCTGTACGGCTGATGATCAGTGTTGCCATCCCTCTAGCATATAGTTTCGGGTTTTGCCGTAGCCTTAGCTGAAAGCAGTCGTAATCTCAAATTGCCATATTGACCGAAGTTGGCATTCCGTAAAGCACAGCGAGAGAACGAGGGGACTCGTGCTCTCGCTGTGTTTCGTTTGCAGCCTTGGAGCAGGCGGGCCCGGAGAGGGGCTTGTGAGCGAAGGACGTTTCATGTTTCAGCAACTGCTCAAGAAGAACCAGAGGGCCCAGGTGAGCTGCGTGGTGGAGAAGAAGAAGGCCAGCGAGGTCATCGCCCACGAGCCCAAAACGGTAAGGTCTAAAGTCTCTGAACGGAGCCACTCCTCGGTTGTCCACCGGTCTGCACAGTTTTCCTATATCAAGGCTGTATACCTCAAAACTTCCCATTCGCGTTTCGCCCGTTCCCGTTTCACCCCATTTTCGTTCGAACCTTCTCAAAACATCCAAACCGGGTTTTTCGCATTTGGGCCTATTCGCAGTTGGTCCCGTTCTCACTCGGACCGGATGGTGCGTATGGTACGCGTTTTCAGCCCTGGATTGGCTCCGACCGTGGCTCCGACGGCTCGTAGCAGACGCTGCAGTCTACTTGAAGGCAAAATAGAGTACAAAGTGGGGAGGAACCACTCCGGGTGCCCCCTCCCACGTCCCCGGAAAAGAGAGAAGCCCTGCGTTGACACAAAAGAGCAGTCCGAAAAATGTAGCTCCAACCAAATCTCGAAAGGAAACCTGAGGTTTCGAAACCAACTCGGTTTCTTCTTCGAGGGTGACTGAAAGAACGCGGAGCAGCAGTAGCTCCTAACCTCGTCGTCTTCAGAGAAAAGAAATATTCAAAAAAAATTCAAACATTTTCTTTTTTTAGAAGACGAAGAGGTTAGGAGCTACTGCTGCTCCGCATTTTTTCACTCACCCTCGAAGATGAAACCGAGTTGCTTTCGAAACGTCGGGTTTCCTTTCGAGATTTGGTTGGAGCTACATTTTTCGGACTTTAATTATCACCCAGCCAGGCAGATTTCTGCCGATTATGTTTCCTTTCAAAAGAGCGGTTGGGTGCTTTATTGCCCAGCGCCTGCTGCCACTTCCGGAAAACCCAACGAGCGGGCCCTGACTTTCGCTGCACGTTTCCAGAGCAGAAGGGACGTAGTACAGGAACGGCTAGCCAAACCGCGGGACTAATTAACACATGTGCGTGTGAGCGCTTGCGTATAGGCGAGTTGGGAGGGGCGAACTCGAAAAAGCTTCTTCAGGGATATGCGGTGACCCAGCCATAACACCGACACCTCGAGGTGCCCCCCTTGGACTTTTTTTCACGAAGGATGAAACGCGAATTGGATGTAACGAGAACAATGCGGTGGGCCCAGCCGAGAAGGACGTTTTAAGAAAGTCCCAACGAGCAAATAGAAACGAGAACGGACCCAAAAGGCCAGAAAGGCCACTCTGTGCCTCCGATCACACGAGGAAGCCATAGATGACTTTTGGGAGTTCATGCCTAGCTCCAGTGCGACCTGTCTCCCTTCAGCGCTCTGGGGACGCACCAACTTGCACTCTTAGAAAATAAGGGAGAAAAAAAAAGGTAGCAACAACGGGTTTTCCTCCCTGCTACAAACGCGCCCTCAAGCAGACTCGAGAAGGGAGGAACAAGACGTTTTCCTCCTCCTCCAGGCAGACGGGAGGAAACTTGCGCCATCCCGCCCCTAATTCTTTCGGTCTCGTTTGTCGGGCACGTCACGCCGCCGCTTTTAATTGAGCACCAACCGCTTGGTTTCGTGCGTCGCGCCCGTGGTTTCGGTTGTTTGGACGGCAACGTCGCAACGAAGACCGGCAGATTGCGCTGCCACGTGGCTGCGCGTCTTCTGCGCTAAAATCGGTTTTGTTTCCTGTGACCAGGTGCCAACCAACGATCAGCGTGGTTTGGTGTTTGAACGTGTCACCAGCATCGCCATGGCACGGCTTGCAGTGTTGTGCGTTGTAAACGAAGACTCAAATCGTCGCCGATGTCGCCATGTGTTTCGCGTACCGGTGGGGTAACAACAATATGAGATGACTCATCGATCACTTCGTATTTTACTGTACAATCGATCGGCCCGCGGAGAGTCATGTTGGAATGTTGGTCTGAACTCTGAACCGTAGCTCTTATTGTACCGTGGTCAACGTAACTCTCGTCTGCAATGCCCTGTTGGCCAGTGGCGCATCCAGGAATTTTTTCCCGAGGTGGGGGGCGAGGGGTTGAGGTCGCTTGCATGTCCATGACTTGAAGGGGGAAAGGGGGGGGGGGGGTCAAAATGCAGGTGTATATTATGGGGTCGGCAGTGTTTCGGGGGGCTGAAGCCCCATAAGCCTCCCCCCTGGCTACGCCACTGCTGTTGGCCCCTCCCTGAAAACGATTGCGCTCTCGGGATAGGGCTGAACAGGCTCGAAATATCACAGAAAGGAAGCATGGCTAAATACGTATTTTCATTCAGTCTGGAATGTTAGCGCTAAGCTCAATAAAGCGGAAAGACAAAAATGGTGCCAGGTGAATTTGCTTCGTGCCATATGACCGGATTGTTTATTTAGACAGCTAGTGGCCGAGAAGGAAAAAGAAAAGAAAATGCTGGTGACCCTGGTAAGATATTAAAAAAAAAAAAAAAGGCTCGTGACGATAAAATTGTACGCCTCTTATGTATACCAGTGGCGTAGCAAGGAAATTCTTCTTGAAGTATGGCCTTTCAGCACATTTTTTTTTTTTTTTTTTTTGCCGCAGGAGCGATGTCGCAACTCTACCGCATGTAAAATTGCACCGTGTGAATCAGGCATAACAATCAAAGAAGGCAAAACGTGAGAAGAACACTGCCGCCGAAGGCGGTGCGTCTGACACATTTCCGACTTCGGGGACGGTGTCCTTCGCTGTTTGCCGTCGTGCGCATCGCCGCAACTACCGCAATTCGCCATGTGACGAAGGGTTTTGTACTTCTAAAGATCTAACAACTTTATTGGCCTATATTCACGGGACGCCTTTTTATTGGACGTTGTTCGCAGCGCATGCTCAGACAGCTTTGATCGGTACTCATGGTCCGCGAGCGCACCGAGAGCTTCACTGCCTATGCACGCGGATGAACGTTCAACGTCAATCCTTGTTCTTGGAAGACGAGAAATGGGAGTCTGAGCATGCGCTGGCAACCATGTCCAACGATACGTCGTCCCGTGACATGAACGTCGTACAAGAGGTTCCAGTTGTGGTGAAGCACGGTCACAGTCAAACACAAATGTGTGAACCAGCCTCTGCCGTGTGCGCATGTGCGGCTAATCGTGGGGAATTGTGGGGCTGTTCCGACGTACGCTAGTGCTGAATCGAACGCTCTGTATATCTTGGAGATTATCTTTCTCTTATCATTCAAAGCTCAGAACGTACAAGAAAAAAAATATTACAGGACACTTAAGACTGCTTACGTGTAGGAATACGAAAGCATTATAGTCCCGCGGGTGAAATGTTTTCGAGTGTAGGACGACGTCCTAGAGATCGACGCCAAGTACGGCGTCTCGGACGACGCCGAGCACGACCTAAAGGACGACGTCTAGGACGACGTGGAGAACGACGCCTAGTGGACGACGTCAAGAACGACGCCTAGAGGATGACGTCTAGGAGGAATTCTAGAGGGCGACGTCTAGGACGACCTCAAATTACCGGTTAACGACGTTAGACCTCAAAGCGTAACATTAGGCCTAGCGTCAGGCCAGCGCATACCCGCGTCCCCCGCCTACCCCTTTCCCGCTGCACCGCGAGCAGTTCGGCTGGCCCCTTAGCAACGATAACGCCGTTGCTATGGAGTCACATGACGCGTCGCACCCAATGGGAATTCAGGTGTCGTTACACTCCGAGCCAATGGGAATTTAGGTGCCGTTTCTGGCCGGCTTCACTCCATGGGGAGGCCTCCATGGGATTCATCAGTATGAATACTTTATTGGTGATAACTACATCTCTCGGACGATGAGCTTTAAATATCTTGGTATAACAATTTCTAGCAACTTATCTTGGTCCTCACACATTGAACAAGTTTGTGCAGCTGCCCGTCGAAAACTAGGTATGATAAGGCACAAGCTTAACCACGTGCCTTCTCATGTGAAACTTTTAGCCTATAACACATTGATAAGAACGAAGTTAGAATACGCCTGTACAGTCTGGGATCCATTCACAAAAAAAAGATATCAAGATACTGGAAGATGTTCAAAAGCAAGCAGCTCGTTTTATATTTAATCGCTACCACTCGCATGACTCACCTGCTGCCTTAATTCGAAGTAACAACATCATCTCTCTTGAATCACGAAGGAAGCTAGCTAGACTAAAATTTCTTTATCAACTCTGGTTTAAAAAACTCCGGCTTGAATCGTCGTCCTTTCTTCACCCATCCTCGACTAGGCGCACAAGGCATGACCATCCGCATAAAATAACTCCAGTATTCGCTCGAACAAATGGATTTAAATACTCCTTCTTTCCCAGAATCATAACAGAATGGAACAACCTACCTCATCACATATTTATATCTGACAATGTTTTGGAGTCGATTGAGCGTTTGTTTGATGTGTAACTCTTTGCATGGTGTTTTATTTTCCTGTTCCCCCCTACCGCCACCCCTCCCAACTTTGTTGTGAGCTATTACATGTGCTTTATTACAATTTTTGCATAATTTTCCCCTGTTCCCCTCTCCCATTTTACGGATTAACTGGTGTTGCGCTTTTTTGACTCCACTTTTGTAACCCCCAATCCTGCTTGGGCCGCAATTGACCTGCAGTATTCCTAAATAAATAAATAAAATAAATGGGACAGTTAATGCTTGCGCATTAATAAATCAAGCACAAAAAGAGGCCCTCACATACTCTGTTTTGCTTCCCTTCTGCCCTCTCCGCGTTTCGAGATCACAAAATGTTAAACCAACGTCAACTTCGTCTTCGATTCCTGGATAATGTCAGGTGCCGCACATCGGAACGTCACAATGCAAACGGCGGGGGCGTCACATATTTCCGGAAAGGTATATTCGGCACTGGAGATGATGCGCGTGTCACGTGCAGCGATGTTGCGGCCAAAATCGCTGCCGCTAGCCGCACCACGGCACAAATCGCAAGGCGTCTTCCGGGAACGTTTTTTGCCACTGCGATGCCCAACGTTGCTTGCAACAAACGGACACGAACAATGAATTTTAGCCGTCTCCAATAACAATCGGAATGCCTTAGATTTCAGTTTCCTTTTTTTTATTTTTAATTATTTAAAATAAAATAACCCTTTAAAACATAAAAAACAGTTTTATTTGTTCTTTTTTTTTTTTTTTGAAAAGTTTGTTGTCGCGGAGGGTGCAACCTCGGTTGGAAAGACTCCAACAAATATGGCCGCCTCGGAAATGGGTATATGCATGGAGATATGTGTTCATGAGGAGGCGAAACACGACGGCACAAGAAACTCAAACACTATAGACACGGAAGTCTCAAGAATGCTGGACAGGTTCTTACACAAAAGGAAAGAGGAAAAGGGAACTTGACCTTGCAAGCACAGTTCCAAGACCAGCGGTGTCGGAACAGTGGGGACAAAGTTCAAACGATGATATGCCCGAACATTTCTGACATTTTATGCAAAATATTTGAAGGAAGGGAGGAACAATTTCCTCCCCATTGTCCCGAACAGTTCTGACGCGACCACCGAAGCAAAAAACGCTAAACCCACCGGTAAAAATTAAAAAAAAAAAAAAAAAAAAAAACCGCGAACCAGTCGCTTGCGTACTTTCTCTGCACGTTGTCTGCTTGAAAAAAGTAAAAACGCCATTCTCTGCGCAAGCTTTCACGCCAGGCTTTTCCTCCTGCCACGTAGTTCTCCACCGCGCTGTGAGTGGCCAGCGCGAATGCCGCCGCCTCTCCGCGCCGCTCTGCCGCTTGCGGCTGGCCAGAGCGCCGCGGCGGCGTGAATCGCGCCGCTCTAGGAGCCAAATCGCTGCATGGGAAACACCCCATTGTTCATCATTTAAACCCCAAATTCCCCAAGCAGCAAGAGCGTTCTGCGAGTGTAGTTACACGGGCTGCACGTGCAGGCGTCTGCAGTAATAACTGTTCTAAAGCAAAAGCCTATGAGGAATTTCATTTTGCACGCGTATTCGTCAACGCCTTGGTTATTTACTTGGATTCTTTTATGCGGGAAAGGCACTTACATTTCCAGCATTCTCCTTGATACTTGGGTATTTGAGGGTCTATTCTGTTGAGGTGCGAGCTATACTTTGTTTCAGCTTTGGTCCGAGCGCAGTCGATCTTATGAGCCGAAGGGCCAATCAAACACCGAAAGGGGCACAACGTCATGGCGTGCTCTCGGCAGTTGGTAGGACTAGCCAGTATTCGCCGTCTCTCTGTGCGTGCTCCTCCGCCGGCTATTCCTATCAAGCGCAGAGAGCACGCCATGACGCTGGGCTTTTTGGGCTCTTTGATTAGCCCTTCGGCTCATAACATTGGCCACGCTCGGACCTAAGGTGAAACCAAGTATAGTGCGTGAATTTCCTTGGGCGAGTTGTGCAGTGAAGCTCCGTTCTCTGGAACCTCGCGCACGGTTTCTGTGGTGCTATTGGCGACGTGCGCGATCAAAAGCGTCGCTCTGGTCGGCATCCCACGATTGGCCGAATGCTGACTATGACGTCAGCCAAGGATTTCCTATCGACGGAAATAAGAGGAATGTGAGAATTTGAATCTTGATGGTGTTGGCAGTGTTGCTTGGAGAGCGGAATGATTTCGAGCTTCCGCCATGCTAATTACAAACACCATCGAACTTGTTGTTAGCGAGGTAGTGACACCACGAGAGGACACCATAGGGGGCGCCACCAAAACATCTCGCCGCTAAAAGCTCTGCGTATCTCAGTTGGGATCGACTAAAATGACGTCTGGAAGTCAGAGGCTCGAACGGCTGCGAGCTGGACATATTTCTTTTCTGATTGCCGCCTTTGTCGATCGTCTTGCCATACCGAGCGTGCATCGGCGTGGCACGGTAACGTACTGACAACTCTCGACGCAACACTTGCACAGGCCCGCTTGCGCGCCGTCACCCAGCGATGCATTCCAAAGGGGCCACTGTGGTCAGCTGGTCTTCTAGGACACGCGCCCGTGGGGCGTGGGCCGGCTTTCCACGTCATGCGTGACCGAGGCCAAAACAATCGCGTGTCTTCACGTGACACAGCGAATACGCCTTTCGTTTTGGTCACCCTGCAGAGTCCCAATTGACCAGAGGGTGTAGACATTGTATACGGCCGTGTCGAGTGGAGGAAAAGTGAAAAAATAAGAGGTACATGTCTTTTGGAAAACCTTGCGTCGCTGAGGAAAACTTCTCCTCCGTATCCTACCCGTAACCCAGAGAAATGGAAGATGGTCACGCAGCGAACAAATTATGGCTCTCAAATGTTAAGCTCCACACTCCCGTATTTGTTAAACAACCTTAACAGCAATAACATTGATCTAGAAAATTTAACCTTTAGAGACTTGCGCTTATTATATGCTTGCACATGATCCTTTTCTCTCAACATTTGCAAAAGGTGCTTTTAGATTTGTGTACTGATTTGTAACATCATTTCCTCTAGCACGTTATTATGTTGTTTTTGTTTGTTTTCCCGCATGCTTCCTGCTGTCCATTGTAGGGGCCCAGGGACTCGTCAAGCTGCTTACTGCAGCTTTTTTTCTTGGGCCCCACCATCATAAAGGATGGAAATAAAGCATTATTATTATTATATCCGTAAAAGTGCTTAAAAGTTGTCGGTAAAAGGGCAAACAGAGTAGGCTTTCCGTAACTTATATTACGGAAAGCACTCTTGAGTATCCGTAATCCTATGCGGAGCACAAGTTTGTCTGCTTCTTGCACAGGGGTTGCGGTGATGTCAGAAGGCCGAGCTCTTATTGGCTGATTGAACCAAAAAAATAGTGCGAAAAAAAAAAAAAAAGAGTGAAGGGCCCTGCTGTTGCAGCTCATCACTCCGTTCGGCAACATGACCACGGAGCCGAGGATGGTGCACCTGACCGGAGAGCGGATGGTCTTCTCCTGCCTCACGGGGACGAGGGACGACAGCCCACGCAACGCCAGTACGCAGCGTGAGCTTCACCGACGCACCATTGGAGCCTTGCTCTCCCGCCTCGGGAGAGCCGAATGGGGCTTCCTTTCCAATCGAGGATCGACCTTTTGTGCAAATGGGGCCCCAGGAACCGAGAGCACAACATCAGTACATCCGGACGAAATTCGTTGAGCCATTTTGCGTTCTCCCCGTACCTGGCTCCAGCGAAGGTTGTGTTTCCTCAGAGTCCCTAGCGCATCCACAGTCCTTTTGCCATCAAAAGAAAATCCAGTCAAATCGATAAAATCCGAAAAGCACTCGCTGGTAAAAGGATTGTCAATAGACACATTCACAAATTCAGTGCCATCTAGTAGCTGAAAGAGCAGTCTAAATTGTTCTCTGCTGATGGCGGATAAAAGCTGGCACCTATTCATCGACACTAGACGTTAGAAAGTTACGCTTATTTCTCTATTGGCTTCAGTTTCCGACGGTGTCAAGAAACTACCACTCTGTGGTAGTTGCTGTTGCTACCTATGCTATATACTACCACTCTGTGGTAGTATATAGTTGAGTGAACCGCTTGATACAATTGACATTTTCTTCTCATGAGCTGTCTGGGGCGTGCCGAAGCCAAGCATTCCAAGGACTTGTACATTTACCATGTTGGAACTTATCCCGAGACTGGGGTAGAAACAGAAACTTAAAAGTAGAAGGGACAGAGACAAGTGAAGAAGAGAACGTCTCAAAAATTGAGACGTTCTCTTCTTCACTTGTCTCTGTCCCTTCTACTTTTAAGTTTTGAGACGTTCTCTTCTTCACTTGTCTCTGTCCCTTCTACTTTTAAGTTTTGAGACGTTCTCTTCTTCACTTGTCTCTGTCCCTTCTACTTTTAAGTTTCTGTTTCTACCCCAGTCTCGGGTTAAGTTCCAACATGGTAAATATCCACCAGCTCGCCTGCACTTTAACCGTTTTTTCATGACTTGTACATGACACCCTCAAATGCGTAGCGCATAGAAGCTTAGAAGTCTCGATGCTCAGGCTCCCCACCGGTTTGTCTTCAAATCCTTCCTTCACCAGCTATAAAAATGCCACCATTATGCATGTACAAATGACACACACTTCGGTGTTGATATCTATCCAAGTGACCAGACTGAATTTCAGAAAGGATGTATTGGGATTTATCCGAAGAACTCTGAATTTTAAAATGGCAAAGAAGGACGACGGTAAGTTTTCTTAGAGCACAGGGTCCCGAAGTGATGCAGCTTGAGTTTTCTTTCGAACCTGAGTGCTGAGCAAAATGCTTGTTCAGGACAACGGCTCATGGCAGGCAAAAGTCACTGTTCCGCCTTTCCAGTTTAGACTATACTATTAGTGCCTCTTAGAGGAGAAGGGGCTCGTGTTTTCTATCACGTGGAACAATATGAACCCATACATTTCATAGGCAGCTGGAGCTTCTATTCTTCCCAGCGACTAGGCGTCAGTTGCTTTCAAGTATTGACGTTTCCTCAGGTTTGCAACTTTTGTCGTGGGACAGTTAGTATTTCCAATGGCAAGGGCGCCGCCATGCCAAATCCAGCTAAAGATATTTATTTATACCCACATCGCCCTTTACTATGGCGTGATCTCATATTGAAATATCATTCGATACAGGTGAATATAAGGGATGGTTGTGTTGTTTGGGTATTATTTATATCTATTTTCAGTTATGTGCAACTGGGAAGCACAGCAAAATTTAACTCGGAATTTTTGAGAATGACCGCCCATATAGCCCGAATTTATCTCAAACAATAAACTCGGAAAAAGAGCCAAACTTAACTCTGGCAGATATGGCGTGTCATATTCTGTCATAAATCGTGCTTCATCTTTCTTTTCTCCACTTAACATACCAGAGTTGTGAGTGCGTCTGTGGTCCTTCCTCGTTGGTCCTCGCCTCTTGGTGCGCGATTTTGAACCGTGTTCCCAGTTCCAAAGCGCGACTTCTTCGCAGGAAACGGCCGGGTGAAGCGAGGCATCGCCGAAGAGAAAGACTGCGCCTGCAACTGCTCTTGCTGATCGGCAACCGCAATCACGGCAGAGTACAGTTCCAGAGGCTGCACATTTCGGACCTGCCAGCGGCACAGTGCAACGCCACTTTTTGTCACCGAAGAGCATCAAAGAGCTGGAGGGCCGAAAAAGGATATTAAAAGCACCACAAAGCACAAGTTTGCAAAAGGCCAATCAACCAACGGTTTCAACATATAAGAACCTGAAGCTACATTTGGGAATCTTCCTAACTCTACCCCGCCGTGGGTGCTCCTCCCTCTCTCCCCTTTGGCAGAGCACTAGCGAGGGGGCGACCTCCTCTCCAGCGTTCGCTCTGCTAAACTCCCCAGAAGTGAACAATTTAGGATATACTTGAAACTCAAGGTCTAGCTTGTACTATTTGAGCGGGTTGGTGGCTTAGATGAGACACATAGGGGACGGCACAGACGGGACAATCTTTCATTGTCCCGCCTTTGTCGTCCCCTATGTGTCTCCTCTTTCCAATTGTTTAAAAGTTGTCTTGGTTGTGCATTTGTATTGTGAAAATATTGGTTGTCCGTTTTCTGTTTTATTCTGGGCACAATCGGGTAAACACTTAAAATAAAGAGCCTTCCGGATGACGTTATCGACCGCGGCAGACGCCAGATGGAGCATTCACAATAGCAGAATGATTACCTCAAATGCTCGACTTCTGAAATGCAACTTGTCTGGATGATTTTGCTAAACCCGCGCAGAAGGTTTCGTGCGGGCATGACGCATGCGTTCTGATTTGTTGGTTAAAGAGATCTCTGGGGATACGCACTCCGTTGCCACCCTCAGAACAATTGAGACAAAATTGATTCGTTAGAAGGGCTTCTTCCGAGGGTACGTCCAGTGCCTCGAGAACCAAGGTTACTAGATGAGTTGTGGGACTCCCGCGGAGAAGGGTCTCACACGCTTTAGTTCGTCTCCAGTCGTTCGAAGCACCATCTAGATTTTCGTTTCAAAATTGTGAGTTCCATAGAGTACGGTGAGCGGTCATCTAGACGCTCTGCTTCGAAACGTACGTATTCCCAGAACACACTGCAGTTACTATGTTAGCCGTCTGGCGCGTGGAATGACGAGCCGTGGGGGCACAGCAGGAGCGGTCCCAGACTTTGGTTTTAAAGGGGAAAGGGCCAATTTGTTTCTAAAAAAAAACAAAAAAAAAAAAAAACATTGTATTGTATTGTACAGTGCACCCCAGTGTGCAGGTATTCAGGGAAAGGCCCATACACATTTTGTGCCCCTGACACCGACCGGGCGGCGCTATCTCGTTATTTGCTGAAGTCATTTTTATTTGTTCTTTTGTTTGCAGTTTAGTAATGAACAACTTAAACCTTGGTTCGCGATATATCTTTACGCTAAGTACTTTCGTCATAAGCAATTGTACAATAATTAAACGTGAGGAAGATACATAGAAAGAGAGACGGACAACAATGACTTCCAACTAGCAACAACATGTATTGACCCGAAGTATGCATATACAGGTGAAGGAGGGAAGGGTGAAAGATGCCAAAGTGGAAAGGGGAAAAGCAATGGGAGAGGGGATAGAGACAAGAGGTGAAGGACGATCCCGTGACATCTAATCGCTTGGAGCCGCGGAAACGAGGGACGTCAGCTCTGGCCCCAAGAGGGAGATAAACTTCTTGGGGCCAGAGCTGACGCCCCTCGTTTTCGCGGCTCCCAGCGATTAGGTGTCACCCTCAGGGGATCGTTCTGTGCCACTGGACGAGTCAACATGGATATCCGATGGATGTTCAGAAGTCCCGTTAAACGCTATTCGGTCATCTTGGACCGCAACCATGTCCTCGAGCGACGGAGCGTTGAAAATGTGCGCTCCGCCGAGCCGACGCTGAGGCAAGAATCTGCATTAACGGTCGCACATGTGGATACACATTGCAAGAGTCGAGGGGGAGTTTTCGTACACTGCGTTTCCCCCTCCGCTAAGAAAAAGCCGCTACTGCGCCTGCGCGCCGATGGCCTTGACTGTAGAGTTCCGGGTACCGTAGAGGGTTGCGGAGAGCCATTGCGGGACGCCGAAAACCATCTACCGAAACTCCCTAATGGTTGTACGCGAAAGCGGAATGTCACCGGTTGAGGGTGACCAAATCACCCCCGCCTGTGCGAGTGTTGCCCCTGCCCAAGGAAACTGACATTACGTGCAGGCATCCACTCTTCCCGTGTGTAGCAACACTCAACAACAACCACATGAGTAGTTCAGACGTAAGAGTTTTCCCCATCGCAGCGACCTGCTAGTCTCTTTATTCGTGCGTCATTGCCTTCAATTAAGTCTGTTACGAGAGTACGGAGTACACATACGTTCAAGTCGTAAACCGAAAGGGTTTCTTGGGGAAGACGCGAAGGGAGATCTTCAGTGATTGATTCCAAAATCGGAATAAAAACTCCGTGCCCGTAGAAAGTTTCGCAGTGTTGCGGAGTGCCACTCTGGAGTGGAATGATTCCGGAATTATTCCGCACTTTCGGGACCCCGGAATGGAAATGGAATGGGCACGGTCCTTATGCGAGCTGAGCCGATTATCATCTATGGCCTACGGGCTGATGGCGCCATTCGCTAGCGCGTGGTAAGTGGCTCTTGAAACAGCATCATTGCGCTGGAGGTGACTGACGGTTTCATCGTCTCACTGTCCTATGCTCCTTCGAGGATGAGAATGGCGCTCCCTCGGTCAAGCAACCAAACGGTAGACAGACAAGGTGTCGTTCCTGGTGCCGCGAGACGCGACAAAGGGACTGTTGTAATCGTGCGCGATTAGCATGCAGCTTTGAACCGGGGTGTCGAAGTGAACCCGAACACCGGAGAAAAGCCGTTAATTCTAACTGACCCGGAACAAAACTGTAACCAAAATCAAACATTCGATATTGAACCCGAGCCGGAACAGAACCGTAATCTCATGTGGCGGTTACCAGTTCATTGGAAACGGTTCGGCGAAATAAAATGCGAACCGCATCTTCCTGCGGGTGGCGGCTCAGTGAAAACAGCCGCTAACGCCACGTTAGCGGCTCAGTTTTCACTAAACAAACGGCTGCGACGACATGGAGACAGCGCAGTAATAATGAAACAAACAAGTATATTTCTGCACAGCGCGAATTGGCGTCGGCGTGGAGGCGTATTCCTATACTTTGCTTGAGCTTACGATCGATGGACCGCAAAGGAAGCTAGGAATCGCCACATGCCCTTCCGGTTGGGCGGAGCGACGCGGGGAGCGCCAAGTGACGAGACAAGCTACGAACTACGGCTCGTGTAGCTCACAGCGTCCATCGCGGCATATCGTTAGATGAATCTGAGCGTATCTGACTGTGCCGAGGGGGAGTTCGAGCTACGCTCTGTGTGTGTTTCTTTTCTTGCTGTGAACATAAACATCATCAAAGTAAAAACAAAAACTTGACGGCTGTCGGCACGTATGTTCCGCGGTGATGAAATCTGGAGGCAACAAGACGCGACGAGCACGACACTGCGGCGACCCCGGTTTATCGAAGCCTTTATAGAGAAGATAGAGAACCCATTTTAGAGAAAATAGCGATGAGCCTACGGCCGCCGCGAAGCGGCGTGTACGGGTGAATCAGGCGAGTTAACATTTTTGTAATTAGCCGCCGCAGACTGCCCCCGCGAAGCGGCGGGCGCGCAGCAGGGGGCATGGCTTAACACGCGCACCAGTGATACACGCGAAAAGTAGGAAAGCCTTTTTTTTAAAAAGCGTCCCCTTTTCGATAAACGGCGTTAGAAAACTTTGGCTCCGCTTTCTCTAAACCGTGCCCACTCTCTAAAACGTGCTTCGATGAAATGGCATGCGATCAACCGTAGTAAACCCCGCCAGAAACACGAGCCGCCACGAAAAAAAAAAAAAAAAAAAGTCAAATTTGGGGGTTTTACGTGCCAAACCAACGGCGGGCATCTGGCACGCCCCAGCGGAGGACTGAGGGTTAATTTGAACCACCTGGGGATCTTTTGACGTGCAACCGAAAGCTGGTGTCCAAACAGGACACTACAAAACGCACGACTCCGACAAATCGTGAAAATTGAAGCGGGCTTGAAGCGGGCGCGTCCGCTTCAATTTTCACGATTTGTCGGAGTCGTGCGTTTTGTAGTGTCCTGTTTGGAACCCGCTCTCGCCTCGGAGCCAACGAGGCGGCTAGCCGCCACGGATTCACACGTTGCAGCATGTTTCACATGTTTACTAAGAGATGGCGCCACCAGTCACACAAATCATCATGGTTTACACGGTCGCGCCAGTTTCACGATTCGCTAAAATATGTCAAATTTCACGTACGGTTTCACATAACAGACCAGCTGCACTGTTCGTGATTTTGGAACCGTGTGCTCAAAAGGCGACTCGCTAAAACTGGCGACTCGCTAGAACTCCCTATTTCTCACTCGGCCGAAAAGCCGTGCTATTCGCTAGGCCTTACCGAGGAATTTGACCGTCGCTAACCGTTCTTTTGGGGGGTAGTCAATTTTGACCACGTGTGAGGTTGTCATATTTATCGTAGGGGTCATTATAATCGTGGCAACTTTTTACCGCCCAAAAGGTAGTCACATAGACTACATTTCTTTCTTTGTGTCAATTTGTTTCCTTTTTTTTTTTTTTTTTTGCCCATCCCGCTTGAACTCAAGCACTTTGCAGTATGTAATAGGTTGTTTTCATATGACGTCAATCCGCCATTTTGTTGTTAGTTTATTTTTTCAAACAAATTCACTAATATGAAGGATTACATCGCAACCTGTCGAGGAGATGTCAGCGTGGTAAGACTTGTAATCTTCTGTGCTCTACGCATTTAAGGGGTCATGGAAATCCTTGGAATGCTTGCCTTCTGCACACGGTAAATAGCTCAAAACAACAAAATGGGGGACAAAATTACGTCAGTGAAAACTACCTATAAACAAGTAAAATGAAAGGAAAAAAGGCGGCTTTGCGTGCTTCACGGACGTTTACATTTTTCTCCCATCAGACTTGTAGGACCAACGAAATTGTCGAAACCACTACAAAACGGCAGCGTCCGGTCTTCCGATGGTGGCATAGTTTTACCCAAAAAGACTAATTAAAAAAAAAAAAAAAAAAAAAAGATTCAATAAAAATTAAAAAACACGTGCAGCAATCTAATCGAGCAGATCCCCGACGGCCGAACGAAAGGTCGGCGCAATGGCGGCACACGGCAGTGTGACAAAGCGCGCTCTTTTTACTTCTGCCCGCGGCATTTCTTAACACTGGCATTTGCGCGAGTGCAGCTTCACAAGCACAACAAACTGAACAACTTATGCAAAACAAATTTATTCACGATTGCCACAGGCAGGCCACCGACGACGATCCACATGCGCTGTGGTCGAAAATAATTCTGTAGCTCAAAAAATATAATTTGGGGTTAGAATGCAGCGTCTGGGAGTCCTATCCCCCTTTGCAGAGGGTAGACCCCACTGCTAGTGCCACAGCCTCATAAACTTGAGGCAGTGGCAAGTTAAGTACATTTGTATTGGATGGCTATGTCTACTTTCAAAACCTTGAACATACTATGTACGCGTGTTCATTTGCAATCTTGGTTGTTCGGGACATTCTTCCTCCTCATCAACACAGCAGAACATTCATTCTCAAGGACTGCCACTGCGGATAAAATAGCCAACGCAAATCACAGCATTTCACTCTGCAAGCAATGCAGCAGCCACTTGGCCAAGACAATTCTTCCGACACCAAAGTGTGTATGCACACTAATTACAAGGCCACCGAGATCTGGTATATGTAATTCACCGAGAGTTTAACCATGAGCTGTGCAAAACAGTGTAGAAACAAGTACAGATTCAAGGGCATCACTTAGCTAAACGATTTTTCAACTTCTTACGTGCACTCTACACAGACTGGAAATACATGAAGTTGCCACTGCATACTACAAGTGAATTTGCAAGTAATATTTAAGCAGTCCAACATGTTGCTCGAATATTTTGCTTAACCTTTTGTGCCAAAAATACCTTGCACAAACGATACTACCACGCTTTCAATAAAAGAATCCGCACTGGCACGTGCAATCAAATAGGTGCATCTAGGGCACAAAGATGCTCAATTTCTGGTACTGGCAGTCAAAGCATTGCTTGCTTAGTCTTTCCAATACCCGCTTCTTACTTTTAAAGCTGGAGACAGCACTCTGTATTGTGTGCAAACAGTGAAAAAAGATGGCTAGCTTTAGGTGTTTCGTTCCGTTTTCCAAAACTGTGAAAATTGGCCACCAAACACGGATTCATTTCTTAGGATGCTAAAATTCACATATACACTTAAAAAGTTCTGAACTAAAATTTCATTGCTACAACAGCAACAAGTTTCTTTAAGGTTTGTGCTGGTAAACTTGTAGCATTAACACTTTACTTGGAGTCCCAGTCCAATCAATCATGTGGCTGTATGGCTGAAATTACACCCAAGTTGCAAACCAAACACAATACAAATTTAGCCTTGGTACAAAATTCAATACCAAGCAGAGCATGGACCACTGGATAAGCAAAACAAGAAACAGAAGCACCGACTTACAATTCATACGTGAATAAAAAAACTCAGAAATTGAACTCGCAGGAATACCAGACATCTTCAATAAAAATTTTTGTCAAATGCTCGTAGGAATCGAGTTACTTGGAGCTCAACTGACTGAGCAGCCTGAGCCATTTCTCTCGTCCACTCATGGGAAGACCGATGTCACCCAAGGACCCGACAGGGCTGACATAGTCACTAATGAGTACACACTCCGAGATAACCGCAAACCAGTTTTGACACCACAAACTGTTACAAGAGAAACTGCTTGCTGCATATCAAAGCGTCAGGTATTGGTGCTTTTCCCATGAAGAGATGGAACTCCCGCAGTCACTTCACAAGCGTGGTTCTGCGAAAACTATATAAAAAACACATGCAATGTTCTTTTCCACACCTTTTCATGCGAGGCTTTTACAATCAATTATCAGTTGTGTGCAAGCTTTTGTGTGTCTTCCATTTAAGTAGTCGGTGTGCTGTTTGCTGTCAAATGCTGGCCTACTCTAGCCCATTCCCAATCGGCTCTGTGGCTCTTGTAACCCGACGCATTCATCTTGGCAGCACTGGGAGTCTGTCCCAGTGCTGGCAGACGGTGCAGGGAGGAGTGGGCCGATGCTGCTTCAGCAAGGCCCGGCCGCTATGGCCACGCCTAGAACGTGCAGCGACTCTAAGTCACGGGATGGACCCTAGTGGAGGGAAGAGAACAGAGGGACACCACACAGGAGAGACAAGGTCGTTAGTACCCTTGTCCCACTCTGCACAACGCAAACTACCAAGCTGGACACCGTTTACCAGACTGCCAAGAGCCTCGACTGCACCCTTCAAATTGGGTCAGATTGCTATGCCCAGAGCAAAATACCAAATTAGGAACCCTAAGCTTCAAGCATTTTGCAAAACAGGTTCGAGTTGTTTGTTAGTAGAAGAAATAAAATGCTCGCGATGCAATCAGGCAAAAAATAAATGCATCTACAAAACAGAAAACTGAAAGCAGCAAAATAACAATACTGCCAAAGACAACTACATACACCAGCGCACTCAAAGTTTGCAGAAAGTGCACTAAAACGAACACAGAGGTGTTGAAAATTTGGGAGATTCAGACATGCAAGGAACTTGTGGGACGGCCCAAACAAATGCATACAATGAACGCTCAAAGTCCAAAGGAGGAAAACGAGAAAGAAGTGTAGCGAGAAGAAAGCAGGCAACGTAGTCACAGACGAGGCTCTGTACGCTGGACTCAGTCCGACAGAAGCGGACATTCCAACTCGCTGTACTGGACCTGAAGGTGGGAGGGTTGGAAAAGAAAACGGGATGGGGTCTCGGGTGAAACCATGGCTCCATTCTTTTTCCACTGCTGTCGCGCATCTAAATGCAAACAAGTACAGTTTGACCCACACTGGACACTAAGCGTACGGGCAAAATTAACAAGAAAAAAGCTTTGCCCCTTTCACTTTAATGCAAAACTGTGCACACGCTAAACAAACATTCGAGCAGAGTTCCAAAGTCCTTCTAGACAGGGTGAGGCAAAAGTTGTGCATCATTAACAAATATGAATGATGGCTAGGGGTTAGTGGCTGGCGAAGCAGGCAAGAGAGCAGGGGTTGAGACCGGCCAGCAGTCAGATCATTCGGCCAACCAAGCATGCAGTCGCAGAGCCTGACGGAAGGGCTGACCCGGCTACCACAAGGCTAAAAGCAGGGACTCGGCCACTGAGGGGCTTGTGCGCCAATGCAAAAAACTGCCCCTCCATTCCATGCGGTGGAATGTGTGGAGCCAAAAAACAATGTTCGTAGCTCGCCTATTATGGCAGGAAGAAATTTGGTGTCAATATCACAGACATCTTGTCCTTATGTCAATTATATGTAATCACGGCTCACAACTGTGTACAAGTACCATGAAAGGGCACCGAGGCCATGGAAGGGCACTTGGAGACAAGGAGGTGGCAGCTTCATCGCTCCCCTCACCTTAGTCCGCAATCCTGGGAAAACAGTAATCGTCTAGGCATTCGGCGCACAAAAATTGGGTGCTCTCATCTTATGAGCACGACTGTTGGAGCAATCCAGGCACAGAAAGAGGCAGGAAGAATGCACAATAAAAACAGAGGTCATAATGAATAGCGACGAAAAGGGTGAAACCGCCAAGCTGGACACCACAATGCAAGCCGAGGAAACAAAGACGAGCCAGACGTATCACTTTCACAGCCTATCTGCCAGCTCATCACCGTAGCTCGCCGCCGCCGCCTTCCCGCCACCCAGAGTTGCCACGATGCCATTTGCTGTGAGTGCCGCCTTCTCGTCGAGGTCGTCGCCTACCTCAGCAAAGCGTGCCAGTGGGGGCACCCCCTTGGACGCCTCGGCGTCCGTCACCGCATCACTGCGTCGGCAGCACCGGCTGTACACCCGCTGCGCCAGCAGCAGTACCAGCAACGGGACAGGCGTCACGATCGAGGCCGCCACGGGTACTACTGCCGCGATGTCCGCCTCGGGCTGGGGCAGCGAGAAGCCCAGCAACACGATGGCAATGCCCGTGTTCTGCACGCCCGTCTCCACAGACACCGCCAGGACGTCCGGCCACGCCAGACCCGCCAGGCGCGTCGCCACCGCCCCGACCGCAAAGCCCACCCAGACGTTGGCCGCCGCCGCCACCAGCACCCGCCACGACATCAACTTGAACATGTAGAGGTTGGCGTAGGTGCCAAAGGCCACGATGTACACAATCATGGCCACCGAGACCGGGGCCAGGATGCGCTTGCAGAAGGCCGCCACCTTGGGACGGAAGCGCTGCAGCAGCAGCCCGATGGCCAGCGGCCCCGTCATCGAGACCAGGGTGGTGAAGATGTTACGGAAGGGGATGCGCACCGAGGCGTCCTCGAACAGGCTGCGCCCCAGCGTGAAGAGCCACAGGGGCATCGTGCCTGCGGCAAGGGTGAGGCCCCCAGCTCCCTCCAACAGTGCCCAAAGGCCCCTAGCTCTGTACCACACTCGCTCGTGCCACCCACCTGCTCAACCACAATGCTCCCCAAAACTCTCCAGATCTATGGCAAATTGCTGGGACACTGTGTTTGATATGTGCTCTTGCATCACAAACATCTAGGGATACTCTGAGCCTGTGTCCACAGAGTATGGGGAATGACAGGCCGTGGCCAATCACGTGACGTCAATTTCCCCGCTAAATCTATAGGGAAACACAATTTGAGTATAGCTCACGTGACATACATTTCTTTTGCTGCAGGGAAACTCGATTAAGTCATGTGATATCATTTTCCCCGCTAAATTTAGCGAGAAAACTGAATGGGTGTTGAGGTCACATGATGTCATTTTCCCGCTAATTCTAGCGGGGAAACTCAAGTCATGTGACGTCACAGGCCACAGCTTCACGAAATTCGGTTTCACGAAATCCAGAGCAACTAGCCGAAGAATGTTTCACATTAAAATAAGCGAGCCAAACAAACAATTCTCTTTTACCTAGTAATACAAGGTTCCTGGAACCTCTAGCACGTGGCCGGATATCAGTGCATGCCACAGCTGTCCCGAACGTACCACTACTACATCCGTTGTCAGTGTATTGCAAAAGCTACGTTGGGCGACGTTTTCCTCGTTCCTTTGACAAAGGACCCCGTGTACAGGGCACAGTTCAAAGTGCCCTCATCATTTATTTTTTTTTAATTTTCTTACAGGGATCCACGTGTTACAAGTGGCTTATGAACGGGGTTCCAGGTTTTCGCTACTACATTTAGCGACGTTAACCCGGCTTCATCGAGATCAGCGAATACCCAAAAACTGCCAACTGGAGCTTGAACAAGAAAAGTTTCACTGAAAGAAATCTTTATCTACAGCATTCTTTTGCATTCAGCCTGAACACAGCCCACAGCAAACAGCCACACAGTCCGCAAGGTTGCTTCTTTCTCAGGCTTTCCCCACTTTATACTTTGCAGTTTCAAAAGGGAGCTCGACACTAAAATCTTCCCTGTAGAAAACCCGGCTTGTACCTTCCGGGAATGTGCCTCGTTCTGTCAGTCATGTCATGTGCATGTACCCTGAAGGTTAGGAAATCCCCCGTTTCTTCAACACGACCCACAATTAATGCCCATTTTTGTCCCACACTGAGAAGAGACACTGAAAAAAACACCCTCAACCCTAATTATAAATGAACAGACAGCACAAGAAAGCTCTAGGACAATTATTGCCACTAATATTACAGGAATAATGTTTAATCGCGCCATTCCCAAGATATTCATATCGGCAATTTCAAACACGGATGTGGGAATATGATTCCAATTCAAAAAGGTGTTGGGAATAAAAAATTTTAAGATATATTTGTTCTGCAAGATGGAATGCCAACTTTGTGTCTATAGACAATGCGCGTGAATATGCATTGGTGTAGTGTTAGTAATGTTAATAAACCCACCTTACAAAATTCTCTTCAGTTGCAATGTGCACGTGGACAACTATTTGAGAGAAATCTCCGGTAGTTTTTCCTTCACCAAATGGTAAATAAAAGAAACAGTCATAAATATAGCTTAATAGTTTTTATAAATAAAAAAACTAGTGATGGGCCGAACGTTTGCTGAATCGAAAATTCAACGCCGAACCTTAAGATTCGGACAAATTTTTTTCAGACTTTTCTAAAGATTCGGCAAAAATACATTGTTCCCAGACCTAAAAGTTAATATAACGTTTTTTCGTGCGAAAAAAGTTTAGGGTTTTTGTTAAATGCATACTGACACAGTTATTACAAAATAAAATGATATTCTACGAGATAACTGTATCGGCGTCATTTTTGTGCGTTTACTGATATTTTAAAATGATTTTTTGCAGAAGTGGTGTGACAACGAGGTTGGCTAGTAGCGGGCACAGTCACGATGCGCGAGTTTTGGTTTTGAGGCCTCATCAGCACAAGTCTGAAGGGAGGAATTGTTGAAATAAAGGCAGTAACACTCTGTTCTTAATTTCCCTGTGAGTCATTATTTCGTGCATGAAAATGAATGCAACGGCTGCTGTGCCTTTACCAGAAGAGATAACAATGTTATTGTAAATATGCATGTTTTTCGATTTGAGTCACTTTAGCTTTGCATGGAAGTGTGCGTCCCATATTTGCAATGTCTCGTTTTTCACTTTTAAACTGCTGGTTTCTGATGTTTGGACTTACCGGACCTCAAGGAAGATGGCAAGAGTTAAGAACGTCTGATGTGCAACATTGCGCATGAAAGTTCTGTGTTCAGTTTTATGCGGATAGACGAAAACCGCGAATTAACGCTAATTGAAAAAGCAATATTTTGTTTTGGCACAAACTACTTATGAGCAGAAAATAGGATTGCTACAACGGCGAGGAGTGCTTTAAAGTATTTGTTGGTCAATGCTGCGATATCTCATTGCATCACTGGAAAGATCAAATGAAAATCACGTTATCCCGAATGTACCGCATCATTTGTCACTTGCACGGTGGACTGCGTCGTTTTTGCGTCCATTTCTGGTCGATCTTCTGTTCTTGAGGCAGAAAATATTAAAGAGACCGACACTCGGAAAGGCTGACACACAGTTATCATGTTGCCTACTCCACTCCTCGCCGTATCCGCTGGTAGTACTACACTGTACGATGGTAATCGCACGATCGCACGGCGTCCATCTCCAATCCATGGCCCCGTTTGCATTCTCGCACATGCGCAGACGTTTGCCGAATTTTTGCAGAATCTTTACCGAACTTTCCTTCAAAAGTTTGGCATGTGCCGAACTTTGCCGAATCTGAAGTTTGGCATATTCGGTCCATCACTAATAAAAACTAGCTCGATCATGCTGACAAAGACAGGGGAGCACAGAATGCGTCGTGAATGAGTTGGGCATGTGCTATACTCCGTTTAACGATAACTTGGCAAACTGTGGAAGCTACGGCTCCTGCGACCCAATAAGAGCGTCAGAGTGAGACACGTGACCTCACGTCACAGGAGCGCGTGTGTCAGCGCCAAATGCGAGGCCTGAAGAAACCTACTGTCGTTTGCTGGCCAAGGGTCGTCTGCTGCGAGACCAACTTCAGATGCAACATTGCCGTCAGCTAGGGTAGCGAGCTTTTTGGGAACAGTTAAGGAGACAACCATAAGCTCAAATTACCCGCGAATCTGTGGCGAGTATTCATGCCAGGGCTCAATGCCATGTTTGGAGCGGAAGCATTCGATTCCATGGCTGCGATCGCCAATGGCCACGGCGCTACAAGGAGAAAGAAATCGGGAGTGGATACGGATGCGGCGTCACTTTTTTTGGTCTAAATATAACTGAAACTGTAAATTAGCGAATATTTATTCCTTATTTTTTATGCACTGTCATAAGAAATAGAATTGTGCGAGTTCAATTGCAGTTAAAGGACTACCTTTTGTCGCAAACAGCGCTGTTGCTGTGGCGGTAACGAGTGTTAACACATACCTTGCTCCGATGCTCTTAACAGGGTCACGAGGTCCACAGCCTCCACAATTCACTAAGTTATAGTGAAACGAAGTATAGAGAGTGAGAGTGAGTGAGTGTGTGTGTGTGTGTATGTGTGTGTTATCACGTGACATCATAGTCACATGACGTCAGGATGACTCATGACATGACAGTGTGACCTCATGGTGTCAGTTGACGGTCCTTCGCAATGGTCCTTCTCGACGGTTTTCTCATGGAGTGCGTTAAAACCAAAGCTCGGTTCAGGTCACCTGCACATGTCATCTGCGTATACAATGTCTGTCTGAAAAGTATCCAGCATCTTACCTCGCTAACCCAGGGCACAGCTTCCATGTAAATTGGCAGGCAATCAGACGCAACTCTACTGCGCATGTCATTCGCATTTTGTCTGCTCAGTCGGCAGCACAACGTCATTGAATCAGGTAAGCGCTGTGTGATGGTCGGATTTACTATGACTGGGCGAGTTGATTAGCAAATATGCTCCAAGTTTTGGTTCAAACTTTGATATCCATCAACGGACATTGTTTGAATGATTAGGTAGACTTTTGGGGATAATTCAGAAAAAAAATATGGTACGACTGAGGGATGCTGTAAGGAGACAGAGTTGCGGGTTCCTGGCAACTGTCAGCTTCAACAAGAGAATACACCTGCCCATTTGTATCGCATAGGGGTTTCTGGCAAAATGTCACCCAGGCATGCCAGCCCTCCTACAGCCCAGACATGACACCCTGCAACTTGCGGCTTTTTCAAGAGCTCAAATGGCAGCTGAAAAGCAGAAGGTTTGAGATCGTTGACGAGATTAAAAAGAAAATGACGAGGCAGCTGATGGCCACACCAAAAGAGAGCTTTGCAGAATGTTTTGTACTTTAAAGGAGGGCGTCATTTTATAGAATAATAAATGGCTGGATACTTTGTAGACAGACCTTGTGCCTGTGTGCAAAGGCGGCAGTGAGTGCTGACCAAAAGACCAGAGAAGTGGGCACTGACCAAGAGAGGCGATGGTGCTGATGAAGGTCATGGCCACACTCAGGTTCAGGTTGCCACCCAGGAGCACTGTCCACATGTTGCTGGCGCCACCCCCTGGCGAGCAGCCAAAGGTAAACAAGCCCAGCTGCAGGTAGGCTTCGCTGAAGAGCCACTTGGCCATGCCGTACGCCACCTGTGGCACCAGACAAGCCTCTTAGAGGGCACCCAGAGAGTAAGCACAGCCACCACCGCAGGCCATGCTTCTAACCCAGAGTGAGCAACATCAAATTCAGCAGAAGCTACAAGCCTGTTTTATTTTAAAATCAATACCAAAGGTTCACCACCGAGCAAACAATATAGAAGGTGTGCTCTGAAATTTTCTAGAAAATATGACTAGCACTGATCATCTAAAATGAGCAACGGCTAAAATGAGCAATGCCATAAAATGTGCGAGTTGGCACTCACTCGCATTAGTTGCAAAGTTTAATAACCCTGCCACAGAGCAAGCGCAGACGAGTCAATCGGAAATGACTCATTCTTAAGCAGCATTAAGGGGAGGCACTCCCTTGGATGGTCTACTTTTTAAGTATTTGTGCCAGGTCAATGAAATTTTTAGGGTATGTTAAACGTCAAAACTTGGGAGGCTACACCAACTTTCAACCGAAAAGGTTTATTTTTTGACAAGTTACAGCCTTATTCGTTGAAAAAAATGTACATGTAACAGTGCCAAAGTAAAAAAACTATCGTTTCAAAATATTAATAAAAAGGCACAATTTCTTTGTTGGGATATAACGCTGAATGAATAAACTAATCGGTAGTAGGCTTGAAATAATTTTTAAGGCGATATTTCACGTAAAAATTAACTTTCAATAATGGTATGAATTTTTAATTTTTTTCTTGTTTCACAAACGTCAACATTTTTGTGTGAAGAAATAACAATTTGCAAAAAGTAAGCCCATAGCCGAGTTCTCCAGTAAATTTCATGCCAAAAAAGCCATACATTAGACTTGGGGGTGCTTAATTCATCAAACAATAGTTTTAGAGCTGTGAAAAAATGGTGAAAACATGAAGCTGAGAAAAACGGGTTTGAAAGTTCGAACACTGTTTTAGTTTAGATGGGGCTTGCCATTTCATCTAAAATGCTCCAGGGGTATATGTCACTCCTTCCTCTGCACGGTCCCTCTGTGCCTTGGCCACAGCTTCCATCTTCCTTTTTTTTTTTGTGGGACATCTTGGAGGACTTGAGCGCTTTCACTTGGGCCTTCGCAACCTTCATCTTGGTGGCCCTCTCCCCGTATGACGCTTGATAGCTCCCTGGCTGTATGCCCATTTCCAACAGAGCTTCCCGATTCGCTAGGACGAGCCACGTCACGTGGCTCGTCCTAGCGAATCAGAGCTCTTGTTTCGCCAGCTTGACCAATAAGAGCGTGCACAGCTATGTTTTCTACGGGGTTTTACGGTCTGTGAGCACGATATCGCGAACAATGCTGCGAACAGAACGAAAGAGGGCGAGACGCTCATTCCAACAAGGGGGGGCCTGTCCAAGCTAGTCCTAAGAAACGCGGAGGGAGCGCGCTTTGAAAATAGCATTTTCGTAATCAACCGCGTCGTTGGCGCGCACGTGCGGCCGCCAGCACTTCAAAAATAATTTATTTCGGAGTAAATACTTTACTTACAGGAATAAAATTTTTGGACAGCATTCTTTATGAGTTGTAAAAGCTGGTCAGCCTATTTTCCAAAAATGTAACTTTTTCGAAAAAATCGCGATTCCTAGGCCGTGCCTCCCCTTAAAGGACCTCAAAATGACTGCCTCTGTAGGAGGAACTCGTATCACCACGAAGGTCTGGATACAAATACTTGAAAGGATAAAACATCGAGGACGGAAACAGGACTTCTTTTTTGAAAGAAGTCCTGTTTATGTTTTCGTCCTGAATGCTTTATCCTTTCAAGTATTCATATCTATTCACCAACACGCTCATTTTCAATTATTACGGCCAAGGTTTGGATAACATGTAGTTTAGTCCTGAGTTTCCATGTCCCAGTGCAACTGTCATGACTCACTAATATAGATCTCCTTAGAACTGGTTTGAGACCTTAATGTGGCAGGCCAAGGGAAGGTTGTCTGCATTCTTTGGCGGAGGCAGCAAGTTTGCCTGCTTCCACATTACCGGGAATACCAAGGTGCCGACAGAATTTTATATAACGTCCGAGCTGAAAAAGGGTCTGCTTTATCTGTACATGGGAGTTTTGCAGAAAAAAACTCTTGCTCTTAGCTGAAGAACACCCTCGTAATCGAAAAAGAAAAGCGCCATCATTCCTTAGGAAAATCGTCCAGAATAATGAATCAAAAGAGTAGACAACAGGCACGGCCACAAAAGATGCAATTTACATAGCCCCCAAAAATATCATATTTTGGTCTGCATAGGCACTTTGCAGTGTAATTTGCTGTTCAAAAAGCACAATATGTCCGAGCACACACTGTCCACCTCTGCTCAATGCCCCACATTAATTCCAGTAGTGCCCTGCCCTTTGTTCAGACAAGGGATGCACGTGAACATCCTTCAGGTTTCTGTTCCAGTACATGCTTTGACATAATTGTACCATGAGAGGGTGGAGAAGAAACAGAGATGATTAAATCATAATTTGAATAATATTTTAAATCATGATTTAAATAGCACCGATATCGCTATAATGATTTAAATTGCACACTTTTACCCCAAAATAATACTGAAAATATTTTGTATTTACTGTTTGTCTATCGGCGTTTGCTTCCCGTAGACATTTATTTTGTATTTGAAGCAAATAATAATAAAGCAGGAGGGATTTATATCAGATAGCCATTAAACAAAACACATCTAGTGATAAAAAGCGTAATTACTTTCTAGCTTAAAGGGACACTGACACCCCCCTAAAATTTTTTTATATTTTTCCAGGCAATCCACTATGGTGTCAGAAGGCTACCCAATCAATATTTTGCTACAGCGTCACATATACTTTTTAATAAAGTAAAAAAACACAACTGCTCGAAACCGAAACTGGACTTGACAGGAAGAATAAATATAGAAGAGGAGAAAGTTACCGGGTGTCACATGGCTGTGAAACTTTTCTTCTCTCAATCAATGTATTTGCAGCTTTTTACAAGCCACAAAAAAATGGGTATAATATTTTTGTCTATTTTTAGCCTTGAGTGTGTGCCTTCAATGACCCACAACTTTTATTATATTTGGTGGTTATGGCTAAACCTTAGAAAACAGCATGTGACCACGGAGAAGAGAGTGAGTGCGACTCAAACCGGCCAGCTCTCGATCGGCGGTTTTCGGCCGTAAAGAAAACAAATTTCGAGCTGAAAATTCTGTTCTAGGTAGTCGGGCTGTCATATGTCATGTACAACTAAAAACCTCAGCGGCATAAATACCCTGTCAGTGTCCCTTTAAAGGGATGGTGAACTGAAATTCGGATTTCAAAAAAACAATGCAGGAGCTATAGGCGGGACGCTACAATCCCTACAACAGTACTCGTTAGGAGATATCTCGAATGGACGGCTGTACTTTTTTGGAAAAAAAGAGGTCGAGATTGAACCAGGCCAATGAGGCGCGTGACATAGAGATATCTCGTTTTCTCCCCTCTTCGCTTTGCCCCCTCAAGGCGGCGAGGAGGAGAAGACGCGAGGCCGTTCCCTCTCCTTCTCGGAGAAACATGACGTAGACAGATTGTCAAATGTGCCTCCTTTTTTAGAAAAATACGGTCATCCGTTCGAGATATCGCTGTATGTGTGATGTTTTAGTGTTTCTGGCATCCCATTGCATGCTTTGCCGCCATGTTTTGTGGAATCCAGATTTCGGTTCAGCCTCCCTTTAAGTGATTTAGATCATGTAGGTTTGATTTAAACCAAATAAATCTGGTTTAAACCAAACAAATCTGATTTATTTAATCAATTTGTTTTAATTTATCGACGTCGTCTTTTGAGAGCGTGTATCAAGGCGTAAGCTAAGCACGGGTCATGCGCAGAATGCACCTGTGGCATGTCCAGACACAAGTGACAGGGTCCAACGTCTCCAGGGCAGACGGCCATGTCAACCCATACAGTCTAGGCGGGACTGTACTAAAGAGAAGTCGCAAGCGTCTATCAGTCCCCCAGGGCTTGTACGGCAGTACTGGGAGGATATCTGAGGAGCGACTGCTGTTTCAACTCTTTCATGCAAGCTATGAATGTGAGCTTTGAAGTATGTATAGTGCAAAGGCATCTCCCCCTTCTCTCCCTTCTTTCGACTCAGCAGTGTGAGGTTCAGGGGAAACTCCTACCACACCCTTCTACTTTAAGAGACACTGGAGAGGAGGTCGCCTCCTCTCCAGCGTTTGCTCTGCCCAAAGGCAAAGAGGTGCGAGAAGCTTCCCCTCAACTTTTAACCTGTCACCAACTCTAAGTTGGCCCCCAGAAACGATAATGCGGTCTATAGAACAACTTTATTGTTTCTCCTGTTACATAACCAGATCATAGAGCTTCAAGGGAAGCTGACACACTTGTCAGATAACCCGAGTCAGAAGCAGCCCTTCTGTTGCTTTTTATCCCCTCTGCTCGAATATTGCACTGAAACTGCGCACAAGTATAACTAAACTGCTTTTATTCGAGACAAACGGCAAATGATGTTTGGCAAACCTCGCTGTTGCCTGCGATCGGTCAGTCATCATTGTTCTCTACAAGCTAGCTGTTACAGCTCCACTACAAAAATATGCTGTACTATGTTGTACTGGACAAAAGAAAACTCCCCATTTGTGTTTTTTTTTTTGCACAAATTATGTAAAACTTTAGCGTTGAAGCAGCAAAAAATAAATATGAAATGATTTGCAAAGCCTAGATGCTGGTTGGGTGATGACACCAAGCACATGTGTCACTTTCTGTGAGCAGTAGCTGTAGCTGGGATGCAGGTCACTTACGCAGTGTATTTAGCCAAAAAAACCGCTTCCAATCATTTATAATTAGGTAACTTTTGTAGGCTTGCAAGTAGCAAAATCTAAGCTCTTCGGAGCATGTCCATTAACTATAGAGGAAGATAACCATTTGTAAAATAGGGACAATATATTCTATTCTGGTCTGGACATGATTGACAAGTCAGCAGCAAAGTTCATGCCAAAGATGACTGGGGCACCAGGAACACTTACAGTGGTGGTCCAGCCATTTCAGGTTTTGGAGCA